TTCTGTGAAATACAAAATTCATCCATATATCAAAACAGAAAAGCAAAAACTCGCATACGCACTAATGAAATATTCTCAACTAATCCTTCACGATCTTCTATTTATTATTCGCTAATAAGACTAATTATAACAAGAATAAATCACAAATAATCATTGTTTATCGATGAAAAACATTCTTCCAGTGATACGAGATAATTTCTCTTCTTGATGATTGAATTAATCAATGATTTATATTTATCATTATGTAGATCTGCATCAAACAAAGTAGAGCCCTTTATGAAGAGAATCGAAGAAATATCGTATTTCTTTTACACAAAACTGATACTCTGATCAATCTTCGACAAAATTTATTGAAAAATCTCAGCGTATGTTTTTAGGATTAATTCTCAATACATCGTACAAACTGTCGATATGATCTCAATTTCAAGCAACATCCGTCGATTAGTTTGATAGACTATGACAGATAGTTCTTGCGTAAACAGAAGAATACTTCAAATTATGGAGAGCAATTTACCTGGTTTCTTATCAATGCTTCGGCAAGATGCTGTGCTCCAGTATCTTTAATTTGGTTTACTTCCAAACCAAGGTGAGTTAACGTCTACAATGAAACGGTAGTATGGAGAGGGACGCATAAATACTGAATGAAAATGATTAATGTTATTTATTTTCGAGAAAGTTGTTCTATTTCGTACATACGAGATAAGAACACTCTTTTGATTGGTTTGATAATACTTTCAAGAGTCATGAATATCAAGTTTAATGAACTTGGTGGAGAAGTAAAAACAAAAGGAGACATAAAGGAAAGTGTAAAATTGGAGGAAAAAGACAATATAATCATTTGAACAAGTAAAGAATCACTTGTTTTGTTACAATAAGAAATAATTTCACAAATTCACAATTAATCTCCTGATAAATTACTTAATTATCTTATAAACAATGTGTTTTACATGAAATGGTTTAATTAAATTTTCGTTATCGATATAAATACGATACTATGATGAAATGAAGATGAAAATTCAAATTAAAAACTATCTTATTCGTTCTCAGCACTTTTCTAATACATTACGTATCGATATAAATAATTTTATGTTAGTTGTTGTACTGAAAAGTATAAAGAAACAATCGATGAAACAAAAAGGAAATTGAAAATTAAACATTTGTTTAATCGATTATTTCTGAAGCGATGTTGTGACTTTACATTAATATACGCAAAGTCTCAATCTGAGAAAGATTTGTATTTTATTTAAACTTATTAGATAATCTTTTTCTAAATTGAAAAATGTTCTTCACTTTCAATTGTCTTATTCGATACAGTTCAAGATATATTTATAATTCAAAAACTGACTATCAAAGATAATTACCTGATTAGTTCGAAGAACATTAGCTAAGTATTGCGCACCTGTGTCAGTAATTCCATTTTTAGAAAGTCCCAATTGAGTAAGTATCTATTCGTCAGAAAGATATAAGAAATTAAGTCGAAATTTAGNTTCTAAATTGAAAAATGTTCTTCACTTTCAATTGTCTTATTCGATACAGTTCAAGATATATTTATAATTCAAAAACTGACTATCAAAGATAATTACCTGATTAGTTCGAAGAACATTAGCTAAGTATTGCGCACCTGTGTCAGTAATTCCATTTTTAGAAAGTCCCAATTGAGTAAGTATCTATTCGTCAGAAAGATATAAGAAATTAAGTCGAAATTTAGATAAAAAGTATTTAATTTATAAATGAACTAGTTAGTCTGATTATTTAACAATAAGATTTAAAATGTTATGAAAAAAGACGAGAATTTATTGAAGTATTTAGTAATAAGATACTTCTCATTTCGACATTAGATATGAATTATCGATCATTGTATGTAAATTTAATGATGTTTTATTAATGAAATGAGATTTTGTAAAGAATTGAATTCTATTTAACTAAGGAAAATATTTATTCGATAAAAATTTCCTATTTTGATAATATCTCACACAATGACACACGAATACGTGTTCATAAAATACTATTCAAATGTAAAACTATGTCGAATGCGATATTTTCTTCGAACACTCAAAATTGATTCACTTAGATGTCATAAAAAGATCTCAAGGTTTGTATTTTTACAAATTTCAACAGTTTTTCAAGAAATAAATCCAAAATAAAACTCACTGTGTTGTGTTCTAGTGATCGGGCAAGATGTTGGACTCCATCATCTCCGATTCTATTCGAGTTAAGGACCAAAATAGTCAGAGTCTACACGAAAAGATATCGATTGAGTGTGTTAAAGTCGTGTTTTTCATTCGATTCATTATTAACTGTCAATAAGTGTGAACAATATAAACTTCTCATTTCAAATATTCTTATCTCATCAAAAATATCCGTGAAAAAACAATCGCAAATAAGTCCGATGGACAAAACTGAATTAAATCATAGAATAGAAATGATTACAGAAAGTGTGTAGAAGAACAAAAGAAATATCTTCAATAAAATTCATATCTCTCACTACGAAACTTGTTCGCTTATACATATATCGATCAAAAGAGTTAATTTCAATGGAAAAACTTCTTACTCGATTATTCTCTAACATATTTGCGAAGTGTTGTGCTCCAACATCTGTGATTGCATTAGCACCGAGATAAACTTCTTTAAGAGTCTACGGATAGAAAACGAAGAAATGAATAAGAATTCAAATCGAATTTATAATCTATTCGATTATTAATAACAGTGAACTAATTCTTTGTTTAACTACGAAAAAATATTCTCTACTCGAATAAGAATTATTTCATCNTACTCGATTATTCTCTAACATATTTGCGAAGTGTTGTGCTCCAACATCTGTGATTGCATTAGCACCGAGATAAACTTCTTTAAGAGTCTACGGATAGAAAACGAAGAAATGAATAAGAATTCAAATCGAATTTATAATCTATTCGATTATTAATAACAGTGAACTAATTCTTTGTTTAACTACGAAAAAATATTCTCTACTCGAATAAGAATTATTTCATCAGAATTTTTGTAATGATTCGAATCTTGTCGGAATTTATCAAATAAAGTCACAAAACGATCAATATGAATACGAACATTTACTTTTTAATATTATTCTTCATAGTGAAAACAAAACACTTTGAAAATGGTACGTATAACCTAATACCTCTGAAATTCATCATTGAGACAATGTACTTTGTTATTTATCATTTGATGTTTATCAAAAGTTAACAAATTTAATATTTATAATCAACATCGAGATGATAAATGAAATTTGAAATCAAAATCAGCAACTGATATTTTAATTCTTCTGAGTTAAATATATTCATTCGATTGCTCATCTAATACAAGAAAATGATTTGAAACAACATAAATCATTCTAATGAATTCACAAGTAGATCTACTATGAAAATAACATTAATCATAAATATTATTTCTGAAAAAGAAAGCGAAATAGAAGATTTTGTAAAAGTCGGTTGTGTATGTAAAGGGCAAGATGAAGACGTTCGATATATTTGTTTTCAAACTGAGAAAAAGTGTTTCAACTCGTTTCTCATATATTTAACCAATGTGAGAAATTCTTTTAGGAAAATGACGCGAGGAGTTTTTGAATGAGTTAAATAGAGATTTTAAGGTAATAATGAAAGTGATTTTTTACGAATAACTACTTGAATTCGGCACATTTCTACTGTTTCATAACATAAAATTGAGAAAAATCGATATTCAGTCACTGGGAATTCAATCTTCAGCTCTCAGTCATTGACACTCAAATGTGGTTGTAAAGTATTCAAAAGTTGATAGAAAGAACGCGTGTTATAGAATATAGTTCTCCACATTCAAACAATTACTGATAAATTCAACTCACTTGGTTAGTTGTTAACGCATTTGCGATGTGCTGAGCTCCTCCATCTCCGATCTGATTATCATATAACCAAAGCTGCTGCAGTGTCTGTAATACAAACACCAGACATGTTTAGAAATAGTAATGATCATACAGTAAATATTTTCTCAAGAAGAAATTAACTTCATTTTATGGATTTTCCTCAAATATCGTTTCAAATTTCAATGTATCGTATTTATCAAAGTTTCCGAGTTAATATTAAATGATATCTATTCTCTGCTTTTGTCATTGTTTCTTCTATTTTATCATTAACGAAATGAGATCATCTCTTCAAATGTTTTATTCATATAAACCTAAAGTTTAGTAATCTGATCGGAAACTTTCTCATTCTGAATATCTTTGAACTGCTTTTATGATTTACAAGATATCAGCACTAATTAATCTAATTTCTGAAACTAACTTACTTGATTTGTTCGTAACATTTCGGCTAATTTTTCTGCTCCATTATCTCCGATTTGATTCCGACCCAACTCGATGTAAGTCAAACTCTATATTGAATGAAATTCAAAAGTCATATGTTATCTATGGTACGCGTTTGAATAAATCAATTAAACAAGATATCGAAAGCTCTATCACTATCTCACTGAAATCTGAACTGACTTAGTTAACTGAATCTGAATTCAAAACACAATTACTATACTCAAAATATAAACATAAAAATAACTCAAAAGAAATATGACAGAATGGAGTAAATGTTTATGTCATGATTGATGTCACATCTATGTTCATCGTTACTGTTAATGAAAATAAATACTCACTCTATTAACCGTTAAAGCATTTGCTAGATGCTGAGCTCCATTTTCACCAATCTGATTATTTTCAAGAACCAAAACATTAAGTGTCTATATTTATCGATTTAGATGAGATTATATTAGAGAGTATATGAACAGTCTGAACTATGGATCACTCTATTCACTATTCAAGTCTTATTTCTTCGATAAGTATATCTCTTAATCTAGTAATTCTCACACTTATCTTCTCAAAATTACTCTATGTTGTAATCGAACTCAACTTTCCATTTCTAACAGTTTCATAAAGCTTTTTAAAATGTAATCGACATCTTTATTTGAAGAAAATACAAAACAAATAAACTCACTTGATTTCTCTCTAACGCGTCGGCTAAATGTCTTGCTCCGATGTCTCCAATCTGATTATTATATAAATTTAACTCCTTCAATACCTGCAGAAAAAAGAAGAAGATGATAACATTGAGTAATTGTCTGTGAAATATTCAATGTAATCGATTGACACTATGCTTGACATAAAATTTAAAGAACGCAACTCTTTCACGGTTAGTCATAATTCGAATAATTATTTTAAAAACTCACTCACGCTGTGGATATAATAAAGTAATCTATTTTCTCGATGATTCTATTCTTATTTCGGAAATCAACTCACTGTATTAACTTTCAATGCTTCTGCCAGATGTCCAGCTCCGATAGGTCCGATTTGGTTGGTGTAAATATCCAAGCGAGTTAATGTCTACAGGCATTTAAAGTTTACATATCTTAAATTAAACAACTGAAACTAACTAATGTACTTCGAAGAAATCGAGAATTTGCTGCTCAATAGAAATAATCTGTATTTCAGTGGAGTACTCAAAAATTCCAGAGATAGTATAAATATAGACGAACACACTTGTAACTAGAAAATTCTTGAACTTTACACTGAAATATCCATCAAATAGTTTCACATTCATTTGTCAAGTGAAATAGATTAATTTTGGCGGAAGAAAACTCACTCGATTAGTTTCCAATGCTTTACCAATATGTTGTGCCCCGACATCTTTAATTTGATTCTGATGTAGATATAGCTCCTTTAGTATCTAGAGAGAAAGATAATGACAAACTTAAATAGTTCACTATGCTCTTTATTATTACTCTCAAAAACGAATAAACGAAATCGATCGATAATGTTGATAGATGTGTCAACGAAGATGTTTTATTTACTTCAAACTCGAACTCATCTCAATCACAAAACTGCAAAGTTGTTCAACGTGTGTCATAGAAAATTTCACATTGGACACTTCTTGTTGCACTTTCTATGATGATTCGAATCGATCGAGAAAAGTTTTGACATGGAAGGAGCAGCTATTTGGGATAGTTACGGTGCTAATCTGTAAAAACATCTGCTTACTCTATTTGATTGTAAAGCATCGGCTAGGTATTGTGCTCCAATATGTCCGATTTGATTGTCATTCAAAAATAATTTAGTGACCACCTATATCGAAAAAAAATTCTACGAATAATGTAAACTGACAAATTTTGTTTTTAATGACAATATCGAGTGTGACAGTCAACTGATAAACGATGATCAATGGTAATCAACTTATGATTCGCATTTTCGTTATAAAATCTTCTCGGATAAATGGATTGATCTCTAACTTAACATAATTCTATTTTCGGAAAACGTGTTTTAATAGTAGTTGGCATGAATCTTTACAATAGGTCCTGTTGTCATACTCAAAATTCATAAATTAAAATCAAGAATATCTCACCGTATTCGTTTTCAACGCCTCAGCTACAATTTCCATATCTTGATCAGTTAGTCTGGAAGAATATAAATCTAATCTGGCGTTATTTCCGTTGTTAGCAATCTTTTGTGACAGTTGTGGATTTTCATATCTTGGTACAGGTACATTGTTAACATTTCGAATCTGAGTTTCCATTCCCTATAATTATAAAGGAATTACTATTTATTCGAAGACAAGAAACCGAAAGATTATCACATATACGATGTAAATGGGTACCCTCTGCTCATTCCTTTATCTTGAGCAAAGGGGTGAGGCTTTCAGATGGATAAATCAGAGAATCTCAATGTCGAAACTTACTTTATTAGTTTTAAGTCCATCCGCAACACATTGTGCTACTTCATTCTTGATATTATTCTGATACAAAGTCAATGTCTTTAGTGTCTACAATTAAAAATGAATAGATATTCAACTATGTGAATCATGAACTGCCAAAGCTTACTTTGTTCGTTCGTAGTGCATCAGCCAGGTGTTCCAATCCTTCAGTTCCGATTTGGTTGTTATGCAATTCCAGATTAGTGAGTGTCTACATCATTGAGAACACATGATTATAGATGTTTACGAGATAACTTAATATTAAATTAATGACTAAAGCAACATTCTTACTTGATTTGTTCGGAGAACATCAGCTAAATACTGTGCTCCCAGATCACTAATTTGATTGGCATACAATTTCAATGTTGTAAGGGTCTACATTCCAAGAAAAAATTCAGAATGATGCTTTCGAGAGCGAAATCTTCGATTATACTCTTCTGATTTCTAATTCCTTGGCCACGAGTTCCATTTCTAGATCAGTGAGCTGCGATGAGTTTAGGTCGAGCGTTGCACTGTTCGCGCTATTAGTGATCTTTTGCTCAACTACTTGATGCCTGTGTCTTGATACCGGTTCCAGTTTCATATTTTCAATTTGATTTCGTAGATTAGTCAAATCTACGACACCTGCGATATGATTTTTGATCCGCGATAGTGGTTTCAATTCTAACAGCCTCGCGTCTGTCCTTCTTATAAAATCTTGAAACGGTTGTCTCGCATCCAAAAGTCTTTGTGGACGTTTATCTTTGGAAACAACAGCAAAATTTAACACTTGTTCAATTAAATTCTGTTGTTCGCCTTGAAGCGAACGTTTATGTTCTTCAATCCTTCTTTTATCGCTCGTCTCTACTTGATGAATTTCACCCAGCAAAGTCTCTTCTCGTCGATCGATCAGGTGGCGAAGATTTTGCATGGTTTCACGGACCTGAGTTTCATTGAATTCCCTTTCCTTTTCCACTTCGATAATCATTTTATCCGCTCGATCCGACCGATAGTTCAAAGACGCCTGAATTCCTTCCAAATTACTTTCACACTAAAACACATTGACATAAATTACAGTCGCAGTTCTTTCGATATAGTACTCACCTGCTCTTCTATTGTCTTCACATACGCAGTAATTTCAACCGGCGAATGCTCCCTATGTTGTGTTTGTTGACACTCACTACAAATCTCTCTCGCACATTGTTCGCACCAAAATTGTATGGAATGATCACCATGACCTTGACATTGAGGTACTTCACGAGGTCTATCTCCAACGTGAAGTTTCCTATGATTGCGGTATTGATCCACTCCATGAATGGTATCCCAACAGTTAGAGCAGAAGCAATGCTTGCAATCACTATCACACCAATATTCAGCTTCATTGGTAGTACATCCATGGCACGGAACTGAAGCTGGCTCGGGATGATCTAGAAGGAAAGAATGAGGCAAGACAATGATGGAAATGAAAATTATTAAATGTCTCACTAAACAGTTGAATAAGATCCCGGACCGTTTGATTTGGAGGTAATGCATTAATATTATTACCTTCGACCTTTGTTCCATCCTTTTTCGGACATTCCAACAGACCGTTGTTTTTCGAGGTCATTTGTTGAATGCATTCGAAACAGAACGTATGCTTGCAGGGCAACATACGTGGTTCATCAAAATGTCTCAAACATACGGGACAGGTGATGACATTCTCAACCAAAGCAGTAAAACTAGTCGTCATACTGATCAATAGAAAATAATCGTAGTAAGCGAATTGAAAATCTAAAAAACAGAAACGACATTGTGAAAACGATGAGGAGAAGACGCCGACATGAATTTTTGTAATTTGTATGCGACAAGTGAAAAAGAGCAACTTTTTATTTGAGTTCTGAAGTCAAACAAAGTTTTGCTTCGTCTCTTGAAGAGAATGAAAAGGAGAAAGTGTAAATATTTTTACGAACAAAACCACATCGAAGTTGTTTTTTGTAAAATAAATATTGACTGAGAACATCAAACTTTCGTCTGTCTATTGTGTTTCTTCAAGATAAAATAAATTTCAACGCGCAATAAGAAAAAGCGGTGAGAATGTCAGCAAGATTGTAAGTATAGACGTAAATTAGTCTCGAATCTCCGAAAGTATTTGTTAGCGATCATGTGATCATCGCTACTCCTTTCTCTCTCTCTCTCTAGTTCTGTATGCTTGAAAGAATGTTATTGTAGATAACATTTTTTCTGCTTCTCTTTTTGTTCTGAGCGAGTATTCTCGTCGAGTATTTCTCATTGATAAGAAAGGTATATTTACTGAAATTTTACCTAGAATAGTCTTTGCTTGTCTCCATACGTTTACTTAAGAAAGATTTCATGAGTGATTCATGATCTCCTTCTGGCATATTTTCATGGGAATAAACCCGTCCGTCTCATTTAAAAGACTCTCTTATCGTTGATAGGTGTTGTTTTTATTTTTAAAATTAAACGTTCTCCGCACCGTTTTGCAAGAAAAGTAACGCACAAACTTTATGTTTTATCTTGTGAAATCTTCCAAGTAGAATGTGTGTTTGAATAAGATAAACACGAACGAGAGTTTTTACGAATTTCGGCTCTGTCTCAATTTCAGAACTACATTGTTAAATTTATTCAGATTTTCTATAACAATGAGAATAAATGTTCGTACACTCGAAGGAGAATCAGTCACGTTAGATGTCCAGCCCAATGATACAATCCGAAATGTGAAGAAAAAAATACAAAGCGCAAAACGTATTCGAGCACAATGTCAAAGACTGGTGTTTGGAGAAGTACAGTTGAAAAATAGCAAATTATTATCGAATTATGGAATTCAAGATGACGCCACGATTTCCCTTATTCTACGTAAGTGTCTAAAAGAAGATTAGTTGATCTGGAACGATTTTGAGTATCCATAGGAGTTGTTCAAGACGATAAAACTATTGCTGGTGGATATGGTGAGGGTGATGCTGCTGATCAACTCTCCTATCCTTATGGTCTTGTTATTGACGACGACCAAACAATGATTATTGCAGATTGGGGAAACCATCGAATTGTTCAATGGAAAATAGACGAAAGAAACGGTAAAGTCATTGCCGGTGGACATGGAGAAGGAAGCGAACCAAATCAATTGAGTTATCCAACCGATGTTGTTATTGATCGTCAAAACAATAATATTATTATTTGCGATCGAGGAAATCGACGAGTGGTCCAATGGTCACGTGCAGAAGGCACTACTCAGGGTCAAGTACTAATTGATCACATTGACTGCTGGGGACTAGCAATCGATCATGAACGAAATCTTTATGTCTCGGATATCGAAAAACATGATGTTAAACGATATGTCATCGGAAATCCCAATGGAACTGTGGTTGCTGGTGGCAATGGACGAGGAATTGGGCTTAATCAACTCAGTCAACCATCATACCTGTTCGTTACCCCACAACAGACTCTCTATATATCAGACACATGGAACCATCGCGTGATGAAATGGGAGAGAGATGCCAGGGAAGGCACTATCTTCGGTCGTGGCTTTTCACGAGGGATAGCGATCGATGCGACTGGTAATATCTATGTTGCAGACTATGGAAATCATCAACTCATACGTATGCCTGTAGGAGCGAACGAAAGCACGATTATTGCAATCGGAAATAAAGAGAAGGAAGAAGAAGAAAATCAATTATACTACCCATGGGGTTTAACTTTAGATCAACAAGGCCGCATTTATGTTACCGATCATTTAAACCATCGTATACAACGTTTTCCCACTACATAAACTCATACTGACTTGTTTTTCGTCATTCAATTTTATCTTTATACGTGAATAAAACAAGAGACACCGAACTGTTGGTAACACGAAGTTTCCAACACAAACGGTTCGAGATAAAGCTTTTCGAAACTATTTATTGTTTTACGACTATTTTATATCTTTTATAACAATAAATTCGACATATAATAAGCATAGGTAGTTCTATTCAATCTACATGTACGTGACAACAGTTGACATGGATCCCGACGGAACTATTCAGTCTGATAATACACCCTCACCCACACCCGCACCCACGCTTAAGATGGTTGGTATCTATACAAAAATTTCTTCCTTAAACAATGCTCTCAGAGACGCAACCTGTCTGTATGAGCGAGATTCCACATCGATTAGTTTGATAATGCCAAATTGCCAATTGAATCAATTAGATCCAACGTATATGTATACACAAATTTTCAAAGAAATATTGTTGAACACACAATTTGGACGAAAGCATATAAACGCCTTTTGGGCATATTCTCGTCGCATATTTTGCAAAGCTCCTCAGAATTTGAGTGTCGTTCACGAATTACAGCAATCCTATCATAAAAAATCACCGATTTGGTGGTACACGTATAATTCTTTTCTCTACTCAATGCTCAATCATTCACTACGATTGATGGACGGTGATATGATCATTCGTATGGGCTTTTTCATCAATGATCTTCATCACCAGATCGACCAGTTGCACAGAAGTCAACCACCTGTTTCTAATTTCACAGTCTACCGTGGACAAGGTTTATCCAAGATTGATTTCAATACCATGCAGAAAAGCAAAGGTGGATTGATATCATTCAACAGCTTCTTGTCAACAAGTAAAACTCGTCGATTAGCTGTAGAATTTGCACAACGAGCGATCACCGATCCTGAAGCAGTAGGAATCATTTTCGTTATGCGAGTTGATCCGGCTCAATCACGAATACCTTTTGCTTCCGTGGAGGATGTGGGCTGCTTTGCTGCTGAGAATGAAGTTTTATTCTCCATGCATACTATCTTTCTTATTGATGACATTAACCCAACGGATGGAAGTGATCGAATTCACGAAGTTAATTTAACATTGACAAATAGTGAAGATAACGATTTAAATGCTTTAACTGATCAGATTCGACAGGAAACGGATCCACAAGCGGACGAATGGTATAGGTTAGGTTTATTGCTACTTAAACTAGGCCAACTGAATAGAATTGAAAAGGTTTTCAAAACAGCACGAACTCGTAGTCATCCAGGCTTGATTTATTATCAACTTGGACGAGTCAAAGATGCTCGAGGAGAATATCAGAAAGCGATTCGCTTGTACAAGAAAGCAATAAAGATTTTTCAAAAGAATTCTTCTATCCATGAACGTCATTTGGCCGATGCATATAATGAACTCAGTAAAACTTACTGTAGTATGAATCTCTATTCCAAGGCACTTTTATTCGCTCAAAGAGCTTTACAAATTGGACAAAAGTTCTGTGTTCCCAATCATGCTAATCTCGCCATATGTTATAATAGTATTGGTAATATTTATTATACTCAACATATTTACGATCAAGCACTCTTGTTGTATGTGAAAGCGCTCAAGATTTATCAACAATCAAACGTCTATAATCATCCTGATCTTGCCTTGATGCACATGAGCATTGGGAATAGCTATTATAGCTTGCATTCTTATGAGGAAGCACTTGTCTCTCATACAGAAGCTCTTGAGATCAGACAAAAATCACTTCCTCCGAAACATCGTGATTTAGTTGCTTCGTACAATAATATTGGGTTGGTCTATGAAGCTATGAAAGATTATAACAATGCACGGATATCCTTTGAGAAGGCTGTCGATATTGGACGACAATCGCTACCATCCGATCATCGAAATCTTCAAATATGTAGAAAGAATCTTGAACGTATCAAACAGGCAGATCATGCATTTATTTAATTAAGAGAGAGAAAGAGAAAAAAAAACAGAATAAATCTTTTATCAGATCATTGTCAATTTACAATTTGTAGATGAGAAGCATTTCGTCTGTTTAACATGTATTCAATGGAGATAAGAATTGTTTTGCAGCTGTTTGAAATCGCTCACATGTATCGTATTCGTTCAGTGGATCATTGGTCACTTTGAGCAGATCGAAGATGAACGTATCCGAAAAATACTAAAATAGATGAAAATGAGATGGATTGAGACAAAACAGTCAACTACCGGCATCAATTCATGATCATTTCGACTGTCATTCATGATTGTTGTTGACATTGTTTCATTGACTAGAGTTGAATCCTGAAATCGAAATGTAAAGTGACTTGATGATATTGATATTCGTCTTACATTTGTTGACTGTTTACATTGACTTTTCGACGAAATATCTTTGATAGATACAAATCCAAGTTCTATTGCTTGTGTCAGCAGATATTCTTTCCCAGTTTTCTTCTCTTGAATAAAACCCTGGGAAGTTAATTCACATTGATCACTGATATGAATCGCGTTTCGAAATTCACTCAAACAATTGATGATATTTGTCAATGATGAAAATACGTTGTCATACTCAACATCACTCTTGTCATTGACATGAATGATCGGTTTCGACTCAGTTACTTTGGTCGACAATTCACCGGTGATCAATCCTCGATAAAATGCATCATGGATTGTCATGGACAAATATGAAAATGTTTGAAGCTTAACATAACCCTTCTCGATTGCTTGCCGACACGGAATCATACATTGACGAGTACTATCATAAACTTCATGGATAGTAAGAATAGTCTGAATCGGTGATTGTCTCGAATGATATTCAATTTGGATTTTATCATCAGTAGTGAATTGAACAAGACCTTTGTTGGCAGCGATATTCTACAAGTGCAAGAATAGAAGCGAACTGAAGAATACGCTTGACTTACTAATGGAATCAATCCACCATAACTAAACAGAAAGAAGATTTCTATTTGTTAGGAATCAGAGCGACTCTTCCTACCCATTTCGATAGTAACCATTGAAAATAATTCCTAAATCTCTCGCTTGTTGTTCACTGATAAAAACTTCGTTCGCTGGATTTAACACACTTTGAATCTGTGGTGCGTCGCATTGTTTTCGATTGTATTTCACGAATTTCTCAGTGTTATCAAAGAGATTATTCATTGTTGATATGGTAAGGAAAATCGTTTTTTTGTGACGAGATTCTATTGGTTTACTGGCCAGCGACATCTAAAGATACGGAATATTCGAGTGTAAACGAACAAGCAGTTCACGTCATTCCCGCCATTTGTTTCAATAATATATTTATTTAATCATGACTCTTAATTACAATGCTATTCCATTTGAAATGAATAATCAATACCAAACGCATATGAATTTCGATTATGGATATGATAATTACTATCCACGAGTACATGTAATAAGAAGAAAAGTTTGGAGATCGTTCTTAGTGCTTTGTTTGCTGTTTAGAATGATGGACTTGTGTTGACAAAACCAAAACCGGATTGGAATCAATTGAATTTAGCTAATTTTGAAAAGAATTTTTATAGTGAATCACCGATTGTACAAAACCGATCTGTGGTAAGTGTTAGTAACACACGAAGTACACGGTTTTCATTTTTCGTACAGACAGATATTCAAAGCTTCTTGACAAACAACCGTATCACAATCGATGGTCATGCACCACGACCAATTTTTAACTTCGATGAAGCTAATTTTCCTGGTAAAGTTCATTTTGTCGTGTCACTATTCATCCGAAGTTCGATCTTTGTCTCTAGAAGTAGTTATGGAAACAATTGCTCAATGTGGATTTCAAAAACCGACATTGATTCAATCGTGCTCATGGCCAATCTTACTCTCGGGTCTCGATCTTATCGGTATTGCTCTAACGGGCTCAGGAAAAACATTGGCATTCATTTTACCAGCACTGATTCATGCAAGCCATCAAGAATTTGTTAAACCTGGTGATGGTCCAATCGTACTTGTGATGGCACCAACACGTGAACTTGTACAGCAAATCTATACAGTTGCTGATCAATTTGGAAGGTTAGCACAATGTCGAACAACAGTGATCTTTGGTGGAGCAGCAAAAGAACCACAACGAAATTGTCTATTGTCGGGTAAGTGGAAATCAATGCTGACTATGATTGTTCATGAGACAGCTTTCTATGGTAGGCATTGAAGTCGTGATTGGTACACCTGGTCGATTGCTGGATTTTATTGAAGAGGGCACTTTAAAACTTGATCGAATCACATATCTTGTACTCGATGAAGCTGATCGGTATGAGCATTACGGAGAAATACCAACTGACAATCGTAATCATATCGTTTAGAATGCTTGATATGGGTTTTGAACCACAAATTCGTCAAATATGTGAACGTATACGCGTAAGTCTAATTCGTTGTCTGTTCGTTTTCCTTTCATGTAAAATTACTTTTTAGTCAGATCGTCAAACGTCCATGTTCAGTGCCACATGGCCGAAAGAAGTTCGTCAATTGGCCAATAAATTTTTATCAACAAACCGTATTCATGTAACAATTGGAAATATTGTTTTAGCAGCGAATCCGAGTATCTGTCAGATAATTGAAGTGTGTACAGAAGCTCAAAAGCAAAATCGGTTCGTTCATACTTCTTTTCAAACGATAAGACATGAGGTCATTTTTCGTTGAATAGATTTATACAATTACTGTACGAAATTATGCAGTCACGAGATGCGAAAATATTGGTTTTTTGTCAAACAAAACGACGTGTGGATGAAATCTATCGAATGACCAAACAAATGGGTTTTCCCGTTGTAAGAATCAACCGTTCTTTCCGCTTTATCAATACATGCATTTCTTCTATGCAGCTTTGTATTCATGGCGATAAACAACAGTCACAACGTGATTTTACCATGGGTGAATTTCGTCGTCGACGAAAGATTATTTTAATTGCAACTGACGTAGCTGCTCGTGGTCTCGATATTCAAGATATTCAATTTGTCATCAATATCGACGTAAGCAATCGCTTGTTATCCATTTCAATTCGTTTAATTAGATGACCACTCGTAGTTTCCAAATCAAACGGAAGATTATATACATCGTATTGGTCGAACAGCACGAAACAAAGAAGCTATTGGAACATCGTATGTAACATAGATGATATTCATTTCCATTTGAAAAGACAAGAAATTTGTTTCTCTTAGCTATACATTCTTTACATCCGAGAACGCGAAACAAGCACCAAGTTTAGTTCGAGTTTTACAAGAAGCTGGACAAATTGTCAATCGAGATTTAATGGAAATAGCTGAAGATCAACAACACAGCATGAATTCTAAACAAGGTTTGCAAGCGATACTGTTCTCTGACGATTTATTCTTCATTTTCTCTTCAGGATCAAAAAATCGTCTTTATAATAATCCATCACGACCGCCCATTTATCGCCAACAACAACAGCAGCAACCAGTCAATCAGTTTCCTACTTATCGTGAGTAGATGATTTGAATTTGATATTTAAACTTCGGTACTGTTTTCTTCAGCAATTTATCAGCCAATTAGTTATATTCCATCATATCCTCCAGCGGTGAACTATGTTCCATCTCTTATCTACAATTAACTCTAGTTGATTTTCTTTCGAAACAGTGAATGGTGAAAAAACAAGCATTGGTAGATCAAAGAAAGTCACATGTAGAAATAGAACAATCAAAAGCAGATGTAGCTCTCCTTTCTTTTCTTGTTTATCTATTTAATGATTTTTTTTGTATTTGTTTATGCGAGTTTTTTCTTTTCATTCTCTGAATTACACTTATTCGAGCTTTACTAGCCTACATATACACGTGTGTGTGTGGAAATAGAATAGAAATGGAAAATAACCATTGAGCTATGTTTTTCTCTCTATAGTTAGGATACATGAATATGTTTATTAAGTTAGGAGTAAGAGAACACGTACAACTAAAAATGAAGATTAACTATTTGATATGCCAAAGTCGTCATTAACTAAAAGAAATAAAGTACTGTTTTTTTTTTGTTGTTGAAGAAATGAATTTCAGTTTACTTTGATATTGAAGGACATTATTCATCGGTTGGCAGGTTGATGATGACGAAGGAGTTGTTGAGCGAAACCATTGGTGAAGGCCGATGTTTGTTCGAACGTTCCTATGTACACTTGTTCCAACTACCAACGACCGACGATTTGTCACGAATCGAAGGATATTCGGGAAGAGTGTTTGTAAATAAGTACTTAGAATTTGTTGGTATTCATTAAATATGATCCATGTAACGCTTTCAAAGCATCCAGGCCATGTTAAACTACCTTCGTATGTCATATATTCTGGTGAAAAAGCCATTAATTTTTTTATATCAAGATTATGCAATTCAATATCTGATGGTCGCTGTGTGTTATTCAATAGTTCAGCTTGATGTAAGACGTATCGTAACTGTTCAGAAGCATCGCCGCCCAACTGAAAAGCAAATGAGAACGTTCTTTTCATTGTATCGAATTGATTGTTGACGATACATACCATGAGCATACTTGAGACGATGGCAATTCCTTTGGGAGATGTTTGAGCTTGAATGTAACTCTTGTAAAGATCGATATTGTATGCGACAAGTTGAATCTAAACAAAAGATAGGCAATGTATGGAGTTATGCGAAAGAATTCATACTTCGCCATGAAAAGATCGATTATCTATCTGATGTTCGCTTCCTCGTGGCATGTCGTCGCCTAATAAAGGTGGTGTTAAACGAATGTAAATTTCAACTGGTCGATATCTGTATTGAAGTGGTCCTCCACCAATCTCAATCTTGCGACTGGAATCCAATGCAATGGTTATGTATAAATTACGTCCATCGTTATGAAGAATACCATGTGCCTAGAGACAAACGGATCAAAAGACAAATGAGTTCTCTCCTTTTGTTTGTGAATGAGGAAAAACAAACATTTTCACTGTTATTCATATAGATAGGTGTTAATTCATGATCAAAACTTAAATAACGACTTTCAATATTAATCGGTGATTGAAAACGGCCTGCGTCGCAAAGTGGAAAGTACACTCCCCATAATGCCGGACCACTAACACCATCCGAATAATCCCACCAATTCCATATTTCCGGACGAACTAATGAATTAGCTGGTTCATTATCGATATTATCTAAACATTTAACGGTCAATGTACATCAATATTTAATCTTTTTTCTCTCTTCAAATCTTTACCTTCACTGATAACTGTTGGGTAACATTGAGTAAGAATTAATATGCACAAGTATGTGAACATCATGTCTTGCCACTATGTTTAATCAAATCAAACTGATCTCTGATCGTGTTGTTCACACATCTTTATTTCAATTAGCATAGGCAATGAGCAGGACCGTGCCGTTGCCATCTTCCTATCATATTCTATTCTCTTATCATGCCTCATGTTTTTCTTCCTATGCGAGAATTCTAACAATATGAATTTCTCGTCAATTTCTGAATTGTCTCTCACTCTCTCGTAGAAATTGTTGTAAACTGACATTTTATGCCTTTCGGCTATTCTAATTGAATCCATGACCGAGACGATGATGCTTATAGTGTATTGACACGACTGATTGATACAGTTGTGTTTGACGTGCATGCTTTGATCTCCTATCAACTTTTCTTCTTTTTTTTTCTCTTTCTGTCAATGATAATTAGTTCAATAAACTTGTCGAAAGAAGAAGCGCTACAATTTTCAACTTGCTCATTCTTTCGTGAGCATCAAATTACCATACGATTTCTTTATTGCCTTCGGATATGTAATCAATAAGACGAAAAACGGTTCATGCTAATATGAAGTATTAGGAAGAAATTATAATACGTTGACTGAGTCGTGAAGATTGATGGACAAAATCTTGTATTAGGTTACCGATTGGATTATGATGGAGACTGAGTCTCATCAGTGTCTATTAAAGAACATACCTCAACTGGAAAGAAAAAATCGCATGTCTTTACCGTATTTTGCTGTAGTGCATCGATCAGTTGCTGAGCACCATGGCTACCAATTTGATTGTAGGCGAGGTAGAGCGTACTCAATGTCTATTTGAAAATAGAATATATTTAGCAGACTTTGGACAAGAGAAATTGCTGGTTACTCTGTTATGCATGAGAGCATTTGCGAAGCTTTGAGCGCTCTGATCACCGAGTTTGTTCGAACAAAGATTTAGTATGGTCAACGCCTATGAAGATACAGTATCGCCCAAAACATGCGTACAAGATCAGGAAGAGTACCGTATTATGAACAAGGACATTAGCCAAATGTTGAGCTCCTTGATCCCCGATGTTGGCTTCAGACAGATGGATGATTGATAATTTCTACAGAAGTAAAGTGGAGAAAAGACAAGATTAGACATACTATGACGATAACCTTGTTTTGTGCGAGAGCATCAGCAAGATATTGTGCACCTTGATCACCGACTCGATTTCCCGAAAGATGAAGGATTTCCAGTGTCTGTTCAATAGTATAAATGGATAATGATGATGAAATTAATCGATTGTATCTAATACTTGATTTCTAGTAAGCACATCAGCAAGTTGTTGAATACCTTGATCAGTAATTCGGTTACAACTGAGATCGAGTGTTCTTAAAGTCTACACACAAAGGAAGTGTTTTTGAATGTTGTTACTTTGATTTTATGTACTTTATTTTGATTAAGAGTGTCAACCAGATGTTGCAATCCATCGTCGCTTATTCGATTTTTGTGTAAGGAAAGTTCTACTATTGTCTGCAAGTTAGACGAAGAGAAAATGAATAAGAACATAGTAAAAAAAACACCTTGGATTGTTACCGGATTTTGTGCAAGGATGATGGAAAGACTTTCTGCTCCTTGATCGTCGATTCGATTCTCTATCAGACGAAGTTCCATCAATTTCTATGTACATATCAACAGAATGATTCACGAAGGACAAAACATCATTATATTCACATTATTGTTTTGCAATGCTTCATTTATGAGTTGTACATCTCGATCCGTCAATAGTCCCATACTGATTGTCCATTGCCGCGCATCCTGGTGATCGGCAATGAAATTTTCCAATTCAGGATGATGATAAACGATCTTATCTTTTGTGTGATGTGAAGTTACAGTCACTCGTGCATAATGTCGAATTAATTCTCTTATTTGTGCGATATTTTCAAGACTTATTCCTTCAGTGTTATATTGGTGCGTGATCGGCTTTCGTAACCTTCCTAAGATTTCATTCACTCGTTTGATATGAATAAGAAAACGTTGTTTTGCACGTAACGAGTTCATCTGATCATCGCATGTCCGACGAGTATGAAACAGTTGCTTTTGAGTGTGTAAACCTTCGGCTTCATTTTGTATTCGAGTTCGATATTTGTCCACGTCTTTCGTTTCGATTATTTCAGTCTTTTCAATTTCCTCCATGATCTGCCGTTCATATTCTTCAATAATCTTTTTTAAAGTGGTCATTGCTCCACTGACTTCTTCCTTTATCGTTTTATGACTAATGTCACTACTTTTAGACAATTCATCACTTTCACTGGTTTTTATATTCAAGGATGCTTCAGCATCGATTAAACCTTCGTCAATCTGAACAATGAACACAACAATACTTGCTGAGAATGAAAAAGAACTGAACTTTACCTTCGTTTGTAATCTTGTTGCCAGTCTGTCAATGGCATCAGTGGGATGATTTCGATGTTTATCGAGCATACAATCCTTGCAAACAAACGTATCACAATAATAACACCACTTGTGCAATTTTTCATCAGGATGTTCTTCACAATCGATCAATTCATCAAGTTTTCCTTCTACACGACACTTAATTGCATCTTCTGACATCTTAAGTGAATCGATCTAAATTTGAGAAATGTTTTGATTTAAAATGCATTCAACGACAATATGCACATTTCGGGGAAAAATGTTCGGTATGAAGCCACAGAAAAAGATTTTAAACAACAGATAAATTTTCTTATCACCTACAACAACAAAAGACCGCTAAGATAATGTGCCTGTCGCTCTTATCAGCTCACCAACTAGATCCAAAATAACCATCTTGCACCAATTTTAATAAAAGAATTTTGTCTTATAAAAAATATTCATTCTTGCCTGATATCGGAAAGATATATTAATAAAAGGCAAAAAAATGACACATAGATTTCAATCTGACACAGAAACAGTTAGGTACCGTTCCGAGATGCTGTACTTGCTTCACTTCCTGCAGATATCCTTTCATCACTTTCATTCAACGAAGACAGTCGACGTTCACTTCCTGCAGATATCCTTTCATCACTTTCATTCAACGAAGACAGTCGACGTTCACTTCCTTCGACATCAACATTCACTTTTAGATGAATAACACTCGATCGTTGTTTCACATCAACAATCTCTACCAGCGAATCGATCTGCTTATACCCATCACCATCCATTCGAACAGTTGACCATGCTAACAGGTTGAAACGAGCATCATTCCGATGACCATGTGGATGAGGAAGAGCTAAATCATACACAACTAAACAAAAATGATCAACTAACATTCTCTACTTACCAGCATACACAGTAACAGCATCGACAGGTCGTACGACACACACACGTCGTTGGATCATTCTTAGCGATAGATCATCATCTTCACCACCCCAACCCCAGTACAAGTTCGAAAATCCATTCACCTGTCGGTACATGTCTGGTGTTAACAACAACACTCCACCAATCAAAAACTCGTAGTAACGTGAATAGCCACGCTTGCTACCGATTTGACGAACACGTACAGTTGTGTGCTTTGGATGAGTAGGCTCACAGACATAGTAGTTGCCATCATTCTCTGGAATCAAGTCCACATCATGTAAAATGAGACAGGTGATGTTCAACGATTTCTGATTTTCGATGTAGCGAACACCAGCATTGAGTAAACGACCCTTGTTGAATCGATCACTTCGTGGATGTATCTAGACGAGAAACGCAAAAGTGAAAAAAAAACACACAGGTTATTCATTCGGAATTGACTCAATGCATACAAATACGACTACTACCATGAAATCTATCAAGTGCAGGTATTTCTTGTCAACTAATGGTAAACATATACTTTGCAATCACACCAACAAATACAAACCTGTTCGGCGAGAAGAACTGTGTATGTGAGAAGCTGTCGCCGAGCGAATGCGTGGATGTTGAAGATGAATGCCTTGGCATTGAAGTCGCGTCCTTGCAATGGAATCAGTATGGCAGTTCGTTGAGCTGAGATCACTCCGACAGGATGCCACAGTCCGTTTTTGTATTCATAGGGGATGTTCTCAAATGTCACATTCGTAGCGAATGGTGTTTGCAGAGGTTTTGTTTTGTTGTTAGTGTTCATAGGAAGAGTCTTTTGATAGAAATTGTCGATATCATCGAAAGTGATATTAGAATATGGAGTGACTAATACAAACGACCCTCGAAGGTGTTGAGAATGTCGAGGATGGAACTTCGAAAGATCCTTTTTCGGTTCAGCGAGTTTATATGATCGACATGAGATCGATGTTCGCATTGCAAACTCGTGATATGGAACCAACAAATAGTATGGTGGAATGGTTGATAACTGAGCTGAAGCGTTGCTGTTCGATTGATCACAATCGGGTGATGAATGATAGATGAATGAGATCATACTTTCTTGTCTCATGTGAAACGCGATTGTGAAGGTGACGAAGCATATCAGGGCGATGGAAATAGCCAAAGATGATCGAGGAGCTCGGCGCCAATGGATTTTACGCATGTCTGAAAGAAGAAAAAGCTAGAGACATGTTCATGATACTGTATGATTTGTAACTGCAACACTGTATATTGCCTGAAGTAAAGAAGTTGACATTCTCCTTTCATTTCAATGCAAAAAAAGAATGCACCTGAGACTCGAGTTCAGATGAAAGGAAAGGAAAGAAAAGAAAAGTACACTTTTCGAGTATGAGTAAGAAAGAACGAATCCTTTGAAACGAAAATGAAAACAGTTGGACGAAAGAGACCAACTCTTCTCTCCTTTTTATTTTTTTTCGTCGTTTGTCCGCTCCACAAACGAATGCAGAAGTTTTAATCGAAAAAGACAAATCATTCAGAATATAATTGTATGAGTTATGTATTCGTCTCATAGAGTGAATGCGATCGTCGAACACCATGAAATGATTGACGATGCATGAGGTCCTGTTGGGGCAGAACAGATTGACATTTGTTCTTTGATTTTGAACCTTGAAGAGAATCTGTGTATTTTAAGTATAAGTGAATATTCTGGTGTCTTTCGTTTGTGATAATTGAAAAAAAAATCGAATTGATACTCTTAGGAGTTTGTTCCGATGAAGTGGTTTAATGTGAATACTGAGATGTTGATCCATTAGTTGTGATTGAAATTAGCCTACTGTGAATTATGTCGAAATTGAAAATTTCACACACTCTTAACCCTTAAAAGCCGAAGAGGGTTTTTGTGAAATGGAGAAAGAATTAATCACATAAATAGAGAGTTTAGACCCCCAATATGCACAAGCCGTGGTTGGAAGTGCTGGGTGGGACTAAAAAATTTTTCCACCCAGACGACCTGGGTGAAGTATGATCGTTATAAATTTTTGCTTGGGTGATCCTGTTATATGGATCAGGATCACTGTAAGTTCATGCTGATGAAATTTTAAGATATCTCTAATTATCTATAGAGCGAAAATTTGCGAATAACCCTGAGGATTATGCCGAAAAGTTCCCATAAAATGGCACTTTTTTATACCTTCAAAACACCTTAGTAGAAGAGTTTTATATTATAGTTTAGAATTATTTCTAGTGATATTACTCGAAATCCACGTTGCATATATCATCAAACAGAAATATCCAAGTAACCAATTATGGTTGAAAAGTCACACACTTTAAAAGCTACACTTTCGTGTCTGACCACTATTTTGATACGATTTTTTTCTTATGATACTATCACTCGGGCTGTTCTCATTCGACAAAATAGTTGCTCTTGTGGATACGACTTAATTTCTTCGTTCTATAGCCATTAATGCAATGTCCCTTGGAAGGGACGTTTCGGCTTTTAAGGGTTAAGTTCTCTCTTATAGCTCAGAGACATCTGAGAAAGCTTTGGTCATCACTCATAAAGACATGTAGTGAAAAATAATAGAAATTTCTCAACTCTGTATACTATATTGATAACATACTGGTTGTCGATCACATCAAATCTCGGTCTATCATAGACTATAACACTAAGCATCTCAGTTTTAGTTTTCTTTCGCTTAGAAGAATGCTGCTATTTGAATTCATCTATCTGACGTTCAAATTAACCACTGACCACATGACGAACACTTACTGACTATGAATTATAAAACTTCGATCCTTTGTTATAGTTTTGAGATGTTTCATGATGAGTATTTTCTCTCTGGTATTCATAAAACTCTTCTGATGAAAATATCATCGGTGTGAAGCTAGTGCTAGAAAACCATGAAGAGAATTTTACCTGGATTTTTCTTTTTATTCGTCGTGTGTTCGCTGTATAAATGAATGTTCTCTTTAATCTCGAATCATGAGAAGAATTTATGCTTAGTTATGAGTGAATGAATATTCTATTGTCTTTTGTTTATAATAATTGGAAGAAATGGAAATAATATTCTTGATAATATATAATTTATTAAGATGAATCGATGTAACCGCTGAGATTTTGATGTTTACAATTCTATCATGTAATTTCTAGTGATCCTCGAATACCTGGGTAGTATCTGTGATGCTTCTGTAGGAATTTATAAACCGTATATTCGCAATAGTTAAAATATAACTTTGACTATCGTGACTGGTATTTTTGCTGAAAAAAAAATTCTGCTTACTGTACGATGATTCTTGGATGATAAATATCCACTCTCGATGTTGAAGTTAGAAATCATTTTGTTTTAAAGTCAAACTTTTGTACCAATTTTAGTCAATATTCGTCGTCAAAAAAAGGATGCTCGTTGTATTTCTAAACGGATGTTGCGTCATCATATTAGAAGAGTGGTGATATGTTTTTTTTTGTCACAGATTGATGCACATATAACGCATCAGTACAGAGTAGTTTGATATTTAATCATAGTGGTAATAAAATCGATGGACAGTCATGCTACTTCTTTCGATGAGGGTTATGCATATCATTGCCCAGTAAAAGTATTCATGATGCAAATCTGTAGTCATCAAATAAAGAAAAGATTTAGGTCAATCCATTTTAAAGGTTAATTTTATTTTTGTTGCGATTGAGTGCAAGATGAAGAATCTAAAGCCCACGCTTACAGAATGTAGGGTAGTCATCATGCTAGCCACTCTATGATCATTCTTTGCGTCGGACTTTTCCTTATTGAATATTACTTCTATCCTATTCATCAAGTGAATTTCGTCCTTTGTGATTGAAAACTATCCAAATCCTTTATTGATATTCCATTCATTATAGTCCTCGATTTTCATTTAACCAAACGTTAAAATCAATTGTCATATTAAATATTCCTTCAGCCATCTTTTTTTTAACGTACATATCAAATGAGTTATTCCCGATCGATAGAATATATATATTCTCCTTCAACAACAATGTCCTTTGCTGATTCGTCACTAATATCTACATGCAATTGTTATCAATCGATATTTACTCTCGTTAAAGATCATATTTCGCATTCTGTTAAAAATACGAACAGAATGAATATAAATTATAACGTGCTTTCAGTTAGATTATGATTGTTGATTGCAACTCAACACCTATCACGCGTGAATCTCCAGCAACTTGAATTGTCTTTACAAAAGAGATGTCTTTTCCCTCCGCGTTCTGTACCATTAAGTAAATTAGAAACCAGAAAGTTTAGCTTCAACCAATATGATGAATTGTCGTACGCATTTTGATGATTGTTTTTACATATTAAGAGCGAGGGTAACGTTTTTTCTCTTTTTTTTTCCTTCTATAACACATCCAGTGATCAATGAGTGTAAGCGTTTTTTCACTAGTAACTCGTGTACATACGCCAAGGGCGATGACAAAAAGAAAAGGATGAAAAAGTTTTTTCTCTTCAGATTCCTAATCGAATGTTTGCTCTAGTTTTGGTAAAAAGCAGACGACAAGTATTGACAGTTTGTTTTTGTTGAGCGTTGGTTATTAGACTAGAAAGATAGATTTTTTTTTCTATCAGTCGTTTGAACGTCGATGCATTGTTGTTTTGTAAGGCATTTGTGTTGCTTTTGCTACGAAAGGATGATTAATCGTGCAAAACATTTTCTTTTCTCTATTTTAAAGATACGAATCGATCTTCATTGATTTATTATGGCTATAAATAATCCACAAGCAACGTTAGAAAAAGAGGCCGATGCTCTTCAAGATTCTCGTCCAGTTCGAGTAAATTCTTCTAGAATAAATCAGCTATCAAATGACACTACAGATCTGTTAACACCTGATCAACAACGCGAACGAATTCTAACCTTATTTGTCATTGCGTTGATCTCCCTTTTAACAGGTAAACAAATTTGTGTTCGAACTACTGCTTCAATCAAAACTCATTTCGATTAGGAATTGATTATGCGATTATTCTACCCACGGCCTGGAATTATGTTCGACAATTCATACAGCATCATTATGCCGGTTTTACTATTGGCATTCTTCTGTCCGTCTTTGCTTTATCGGGTGCAATAGCTGGAATCATCTTTGGTTATCTGGACGATATCGGTGTATCGTTAAAACGATTAATTTTAGTTGGAATATCATGTTTAATTATTGGCAATATATTCTATTTTATTGGTTTTAATATATATGTTGTGATTCTTTCGCGATTAATAGCCGGTATTGGCATGGGTTTAGTCGTAAGAACAAAACTATTAGAAATGATGTCAATCGATTAACATGTGTTTGGTCTTTTTTTTTTCTTTTATTAGCCGCCACTGTTAGCAGAAATATCGAGAAGATCAACACCAGAGACACGAACACAACTATTTGCAAAAATACTCGGTAAAAACATAAGATCTGAAAAGTATATTCAATACTTTTGATATTCTAGGTTGTCGTCAGATTGGTCTGTTTCTCGGACCTTGTTTCACTGTTCTTCTCAAACAATTCGATTTCAAATTATTCGGTCTACCCGTAACAATGCACAATGCCCCTGGTTTACTCATGGCTACATTATGGTTCATTGTGATTCTGCTCACAATGTGTTTCTTCTATGATGCACCGATAAGAGTTGTAAGTTCAAATAAATTTCTTACAAAAAATAACACAATTATTTCTGTCTAAGCATGATGCACAATCGTTGTCAAATATAATCAAAAACAATTCATTCTGTCAAGCATGTCAACAGTGTGGCAAACTTTGCAAAAATCCTGTCATTCTGGTATTGAATGTCATGCAGATCGTAATTTTCCTCCATGTTTCCGTCTTTCTTTTGAAAAAAAGGTACTTCTCATCACTTCGTTCATCGCTTATTTTAATCAAACAGCACTTGAAACTGCCTTAACTCCATTCACCAATCAGCAGTTCAATTGGGGCGAACTCGAAATCTCATTTTTATTTGCCGTCGCCGGTGTTGAAATAGTCATTGTTTATATTGGCCTGCACTATATCTCAAAAAAAGTGCGCGATCAGACTATTCTCGCCTTCGCTTACGTAACTCTAACCTTTGCTTGTCTTATCGCTGTGGTTATCCTACCATTCTCCAAAGTTGGTTCAACAAAATTCCTGCCGATCTTTCTGTTATTCGTCGCATTGGACATTTTCTCGTTGCCGTTGATTGCTGTCACGACTACGACTTTGTACACTCGAGAAGTCGACAAAGAACAACAAGGTATCGGCCAAGGCATTCAACGTTCCGTTGTGAACATTGGCACTATTGTTGGTCCATTATACGCAGGCGCTTTATTGAAAACAACGTGGATAATGCTTGTGGTTATGCTTGCTATCATTCTAATTGCAACAGTTTTAGTTTTGTGCACCTATCGATCGTTTCGTTCGAGAACGAACGATGAATTCGAAGCATTAATTCCATCTGTAGATGAGAATTGAGATGAAGAGAACAAAAAAAAAATGTTTATTGTTGTTCGTATATAAGAAAAAAAAAATTTTAAGAAACAAAGAAGATGCGAAGAAAGAGAAAAGGAGTTCAAATTGAGTCTTCCTCATCGGTGGAAATCGTATCGGAGAGATTTTTACGCTTGTTATCGCGTAAGGATAGATTTAGAATACCTTCGATTTCGAATGATTTTCGTGAAGAAGGCTTATTCAACTGTTTCTCTTCATGAATCGGCGCATTCGAAGAATTGGTCATTGATGATAAACGTATTGCATTCATCATGGCTGGAATATACGCTGGGTGATAAAGATTGAATGGCCAGAGAGCAGCAGGTGTCGGAGAAAGAAATGGAAATGTTGGTGGTGAGATTGAAGCTGGAAGAAGATTTGTGTCACTACGAAAACGTTTTGGTTTGGTAATGTTTATGTTCGAATTTGGATGTGCTGTGTTCTTGGTCGTTGTTGTCATTGTTTGTGTATATTTTAATGTTCCGTTATTTTCAACAATTAGCGATTGCCGTTGTTTACATTGAGTTTGTTGTTCCACAAATTTTGCTGGATCGAAATCAACGGCATTGAATTCATCGGGCTCAGGAACAGCTTGAGAATTGTAATTATACCTAAAATAACAAAACTAGATTCTCAAAATCGAACATTATGATCTATCTTACCCTGGTTCGATGCTGGTATGGGGTTTATCAGGATGATTTTTGGTTAGATGATCTTTGATTGACGAATGATGCATACAATCATATTCACAATATTTACATGTATAAGGTTTAACACGAATGTGCGTACGAAAGTGCACTTTCAAATTGGATTTCGACGAGCAAATCTTTACGAAGTAAAGTTAAACGATTGAACAAAGAAAGACGAGTTTTCTTACCTTTCCACATTTACTGCAATCCCATTTACTTTCTTTTAGATGAACAATTTGAATATGATGTCGTAAATTTGAGTAATTAGCAAACGATTTGCGACAATAATTACATAAAGGAATGTTTTCCTTCTCTTCGTTGTTCTCTGAGACCATCGATGAGGATAGCAATGTTTCATCGCCGGGTGATTTTGTTTCCATATTTGTATGTTGATAACTAAGCATCATTTGGTTCTAGTGATAAAAAAGAAAACATGGTGCATAACAATCTACATATATATATATGTTTATCAACCGATACTAATGCATTAGTTTTCTTATTCAATTGAGTCAATTAGTGATGCAACATTTTCAAAAAAAATGGCACATGGATAATCGTACCTGTTCGTCGATGTCTTCTTCTTCTTTTGCTGCTGCTGCTACTGCTTGATTATTAACGAATGTCCTCGATGTGTTCAATTATGAAAGTGATGTGTCTGATAGTGCATATCGGAGAAATCGCAGCAAGAGACATTTTCTCTCCTTCTCTTTCTCTCTCTCTCTCTCTCTCTTCCTGTTTTGTCGATGCCAATTGGTGGTGTCATCTGTATGTCTCTCTCCCATCCCTGATTACGAAGAGAAAGAGAAATGAATATCGTTCCTCTCGTGTTTTCTTTCCGTTAATATTACCTATCTCTGTCTCGCATCAATGAACCATAACCTCTTAAATTTAATAGGATTTCTTTACGATCGTAATAGAATAATAGTGATCGATAGGTGAATCGAATGTATACGTTCAAATGCAGATCGAGAATTAATGAATAAAAAAAAATTGCTGAAGACGTGAATCTGTGATAAGAATGAATGGTCGTCAGTATAAATTGAGTGTGAATGTAATGTTGCTAAGTGCTCGAATTTTCTATATCGTGAAAAGCTATATGATAGGTTCGAAAAGCATATTTTAATCGAAGCTGTTCATATTCCAGTGATTAGTTTTCTCGTTCCTTGAATTCGCAGGTAATTTTTGTATCTTTATGACGTTAGTGGTTGAGAGAATCTTAATCATTGTTTGGTGATAGTTGACGCATCTTCCAAATGTGCACATAAGCCATAAGTATCAAGACAATTGGAATATAGCTAACAACTTCGTTAGGTGTGATGAGACGATGCACCTTAACAAGTCTTATTTAGGTGTTGCGATCTATTTCTTTCTCTGGAAAACATATACACATATCTCATTGTAGTGTGATCAGAATATAGCTCACTGAATTCATTAAACTCATGCTAATAAGATCATAACACACGTCGATATACCGATTTCTTGTTGGGTAAGGATGGTGTCAACGAGAGAGAAATTCGATTTCTTCGTTTTGTGACCAATATCGATTAGCTTCTTTCCTGCTGATAATAGTCAATGCGGTTAAGATAAAAGAAGAAAGAAGAAGAGGACGCTTATGAACAACAAGCTAAACACTTGACAGCATACGAGTATGCCACGCGCGAGCACAAACAAACAAATAAATAAATAAAAAGAAGATGAAGATAACTAAGCTAGTAGTGTATAAGATGTTGTGTTGTGTTATTTAATCTTTGATTATCAACGTATCTATTATCTTTGTTCGATGAGTTCTATCTACGTTGAAATAGAACGAGAAAATAATTCACGAATACGATGACATCATTTTGCACAGCAGTTTTATGATTGCTTTCACCACCCACGTCTATTAATTTCATATCCCATTTACATTATACTCCGCCCATCTTTTCCCCTCTTGTTATTGTCAAGTGGAGAAGATATATGATGAGATTGACTTTGTTTGGTTTTCACAAGCATTTATTCGTTGTCTATCTGTTTATACAAGTTCATAAAAGATCCGTTTACAATAGAAAAAGAAAAGAAAAGAACATATATGGCAAGAGAGTAGGAAGAACAGATGCAAAATACCATAAATAGAAAAATAAGTGATGGTGATGTGAACATTTCAAGAGAATTTCAATGTGGGGATTGATAGTCATCAGAATTTTCCATGGGCCCTAGTGGAAAAGTTTTACAAGTCGAAAACATCATCTGACTTGTTATTCGATTGATCTTTTCCAATCGATCCTAAATCATGAAAAGCGCTTGGTATTGAAAATTAAAAAGATAAGACTAATTCTTTTACTCGAATAGTATGAATATCACTTTGAATCAGTTCATTGTCCATACAGAATTGATTGATCCATTGATTAACTCCATTCATATGGGAAAATATTAGATCCACATATGGTGGTAATGGTGGTTCGGTCGTTTCTGGCTTTTCTTCGATCGGTGGCATGACAACAACAGGTGGTGGAGGTGGAGTTGGAGATCGTATAAATGTTTGTACGTCAACATCACGACTTTTAATTGATGGTGGAGTGGCAAATAAAGTTGAATCAAGAGCCTAAATAAACCTTATGATTATGAGTGATGCAAATTTAGTTTGAGTCAAACCTCGGAAGGTTTTCGTTCTTCTTTTTCTACTATGACTGGGCTCAGAACCGCTGAAATATTGATATCTAATAGAAATAAACGAAGATTCTCATTGTGATAAGATGCAATTTCGTTTCGAGGGAAAACCTTTTTGTTGTTCTTTCGTTGGACTAGATGTTCTTGGTGGTTCCGGTTGAGGCATTGGTTTAGGTTCCGATTCCGGTAATAACTACATGAAATATGTAAAGTATGATTACAATTAAAAAGGAAACTTTACTTTTAATTCATCACATTGTTGAGTAAATTTTTCGCATTGTTCAATCAATTGTTCTCGATATTTCAGATCGTGATTTAAAGTTTTTTGCGAATAGAAGAAGAATAATTTATCCGGTTTGTTTCCTTTAGTTTGTAAATCTGATGATGGCCCTCTAAATAGAAACTAATCGTTTGCATTTGAACTCATATGAAGCGTCATGACGAACTGAGTGTTTTTATCTTGTTTAGCGACTTGGAGATAATGTAAAGCGTATTGTTCATACGATTCTGCTGCACGTTTTGCATGGTGTTCATAGAGACTTTTTGCCTTTGAAAGAGAGAATAAAATAAACAGTCGATGATGAAAACTAAACATACCGATTTGAATAGTATCCGTGCAGTTTCTAAGAGAATAATTTTCGGTGGATGTTGTTGAACTTGATCATTATCAAGACGAATCGTTGCTAGATGATCATTAAATTCATTCCATGGTCTACAAGAGATTGAATACGAAATCCTTTAGCTGCAATCTCAGTCGAAAGAGTCGCTTACGTCTGTTCAATTGCTGTTTGCCACCAATTCTTTTGTTGTTGGGTACATAAATGAGATGCTGAGAAGAGTAAATATGGATGAAGTATGGATTCGGCATCATGTACATGGATATTTTGTTGTGCACAGAGAAGAAGAAAAACCTAGAAGAAACTATGAAAACCAAAAGCGTTGAAGAGGACTGTGCACTTACCGTCACATCACGTTCATTCAGGGAATCGACTGTAATTGGTTTTCGTTCGAAATCAATAGGTACCAATGAAAAATGTTCACGTAATGTATTAGCGTTGATAACTAAGATAAGAATCGATGGTGAAAAGGTACAGTATTCAATCACTGCTTACCTCCGAGTGAGATTCGGTCGGATTCAATCATACAAGACAACGTCCAGATACAACAGATTAGTTTGCGTGTACTATCATTATTGACTAAAACGTTATATATCGTAGCAAATGAAATGTTAGACGAATAGATTAAATGAACTAAATGTTAACAGTTTTCACTGACTGGCTACAGAAGATTTGGCATGAAAGTGAACAGGGATAAGACGTGAAATTGTTTTACTGTATATACCTGTCGATATACGATCATTAGTCAAAACAGTTGAACAATAACTAAAAGTTTTCAATAATATAACGACAAGAAACGAAGTCACTAGTAGTCACTGCCTCTGTCTTATCAACATCTGAAGATATAGTGAGCTCTTTTCGATTGACTTACATTGATTTAAAGCACTTGTAAGTCCCATGTTCATTAGATCAGTGTATTTCTCGATCAGTTTATCGTTATATTCAGGAAAGCGTCGAATGAACACAAATCCACTTGAAGTAGCATCGTCATCGTTTGCATTACTTGTGAATAAATGATTATCAATAAAATGATTGATTTTATCTCGTAAAGACACTGCAGGATACAATTGTTCGAGAATTAAGGCAATCTAAAGCAGCAGAATATGAAAACAACCATCGAAATCTTTCGTTTGAACATACATAACGTTCGTGATTAGTTTGTAAATCCTTCAATTGTGCTTTTGATAATGTTGGTAACCATTGAACTAAAGGAAAACCGATCGGTTTGTTTCCGTGTATTCAGATGATTCAATAATAGCTTTACCAATGATGAAGATACGTTTCAAATAGCGATTACGCATCGATCGAAGACAAGCGCTATATTCATTTGTTGTCGTTGGATTTTCATAAGTCCGATTTTGTTGTAATAATAGTAAACACATTGTTGCGCACGCTAGCTTAGCATCGTGGATCGATTTTCGTCTCTAAAAACTTTACAGTAAATTCAAACAAAATAATCACAAACATTCATTACAATAGTATTCATTTTGATGATTGCAATTGCTGAGTACATTAATAACTGACATTTAGCTTCGTAAGAATAATCGTCCAATTCATCATTTCCAAAGAGATATTGAGATAGGCTAAAGATGAAATTACAAATGGGCTTGTCGTATATGAAAATCAGTTTACTCATTCAGTGCATCAGCTGTTACATCCCAATAGGTTTCGTAGAGACTGTTTTCGAGTCGCTGTAGGCCTACATTAATTGCGTAATGGAAAACGGTCTTGGCTGGTAAGTTTGATGTCTAAAAGCGAAAGGAAATCTTCAAGGATAGATGAAGTTCGAATGAGTTCACCAGCAGAGTTTGAAAAGCATTCTTATTCCAGTCTAGATCATTCGAAAAGGTGCCTTGATCAATTTGATTTAGTAAAGGAAAAGTTTTATTATTGAAATTTTTGTTAGCCATTATCAATCACGTGTAGTTGGATGATGATGATGAAGATGAAGAAGAAGAAAGATGAAAAGATGACCAGACTTGAGAATGATTGGCCCGTTGAAAGAACCAATCGGATTAAAGCAATATTCGACATTTGTTTCCTCAGTTTAGTTCAAATTAAGACAGGCCAAGACAATGGACGATGAAGCTGAAACTTACAAATTATGGAGAATTAGAAAAACTGTTCTTCAGGTAAATGATATCCATTATATCAATGCATTCTCTCATTTAGTATAGGAGGAGATAGCGGATCGAGTTAAATCCGAATGGTAAATAATAGCCGCTTTGCTTTAAAAAAACACTTTGAGGTGAGATACCTATCACGAATGCAAAGTTAATGTGAACTAACTATAAAGTCTTTTTTTGCTATCGAATTGAATCGTTTGTTCTCCTAGATGTGTCATGACCGTGGCTACTTAGTCAGTCAAGATGAACTGGATCAAACTCTCGATCAATTCAAGGCGGTTTTTGGTGATAAACCAAGGTACCATCCCTTATCTCCTTTGCTTTCATTTTCATATTGTTTTTTTTTTACTCTAGTGAAAATAAACCAGCACGATCGCAATTGATTGTAATGGTTGCACATAATGACGATCCAACTGACACAATGATTGTGCAATTTCCTGATCAGCCGAAAATCGGTGTCGATCGAATCAAAGACTATTTCAAGAAAATGCAAGAAGAAAGTATTCCACACTCGATTCTTGTTGTTCAAATTGGTTTAACACCATCAGCACGTGATGTATGCAATCACCATCTTTTGCTTATAATCAACAATTTTCTTCTAGTTAATCAATGAATTACAAAACAAAAGTTTCTCCTTTCAAGTGTTTCTAGAAAGTGAACTATTAATCAATATTACTGAACATAATGTAAGTAGCGATTGTTGGAACGTATTCTAATCAGTTATGTGTTGTAGCTTGTTCCAAAACATGTCATCTTGACACCAGAAGAAAAACAAGAACTCTTGGCACGATAGTAAGTAGAATAATCTTCCTTTTAGACTTCGAATCCGTTTGTGTTTAGTCGTTTGAAGGAAAGTCAATTACCACGTATTCAATACGGTGATCCAGTTGCACGATACTTTGGTCTGAAACGTGGCCAAGTCAGTTTTTATCCATGAAAATTTACTCTGTCAAACGTCATGTTTATCTTTTAGGTCGTACGAATTACTCGAACATCGGAAACGGCTGGTCGTTACATCACCTATCGATTGGTTACTTAACTGAACAAAAAATGCTGTGTTTTGTTATTGTTGTTGTTGTTACTGTTCTAGGAAATAAATAAAAACATGAGAAGATTTCTACAATCGCGGGTTTTCATATGTTGCTAACAGTTTAACCGAAAGATCTTGTACGTTTTAGATAGGATGAGCCTCACGAAGTTTGAATGGATACCAAATGAGGTTCTACTTGAAATTTTCGAATTTCTCTCACCAGTTGACATTTTCCAAGGATTTTATTATTTAAATAAACGTTACAATGAATTTCTTCAGTCGCTTCATATACGTGCAGATCTGGTGAATCTTCGCAAGCGAACGTATGATTACTATAACTATTTTCTGTTTCCGCTAATGTCGCAAAGAATTATCGCCTTACGTTGCGAAGATATATTTGATCGTTTGATGTATCAAATTCATTTATCGGAATTCCCTGCATTGAAATACTTGACTATTGATAAATTACAATTTCAAACACTTCAAAAGATTCTACCGCAGATAAATCTTTTACAAAAATTGGTCTATTTAAATCTCCAGATCCAAAGTGATCATATAAGAGGGGAAATGATCACCTTTCATGGACAATTACCATTGCTTCAAACGTGTATTTTCAATTTGAATACCCAACTGTCAATCGAAAACGATCAACCCTATTCTCACCTGACAAATCTGACCCTCAATCGTTGTGATATTGAACAGTTATGTCCATTCGTTCATTTCTACACTCCACAACTGCAGCAGTTAACTGTTACACTTGTCAATGGCAAAATTCCCGAATCATGCTATGATATTCCTCATCTCAAATCACTTGTTGTCGATACCAATGGGGTGTCGTTTGCCAATTTGGTCAAATCAATTTTATCTTCGGTTCCCAGTTTACAACAATTAACTATCGATGCAACTGACATTGATTACACAAACGGTACGCGTTCTTTTCATACAAACCTTCTTGTTTTTTTCATATTGTCCTACTTCAGGTAAATCCTGGGAATCGGTTTTATCGACACATTTACGGAAGTTAATTAATTTGCGATTGAATGTTAGATTTTCTGAAGATGATCTTCCAACTGCTAATGATCGAAAGGAACGACTTCAAACATTCGATACATCGTATTTCCGCTCTCGATATTGGTCTTTTGCATTACATCATTGTCGTACAGAGAGAACACTGGAGTTGTTTTCCACTCCAATGGTTAAGAAATCAATTCAATTTAATCTTTACAATACAAACGTTGAGAAGACGGTGACAGATGCTGACGATCTGTTTGAAAACATTGAAAACCTCACATTATTTTTAAGAAATCTTGATGAAAGTTTACTTAGAGAAAGATTTCATTTTTCGAATGTGAAAAGCTTGAAACTTGTCTCTCATTTTCAACAATATCAAGCGTTTCCAAAAACCTTGCTAGCTGATATTGCACGTTTGATCAAACTTTCAAATGTGGAATCCATTGAATTCATTGGCAACTATTTCCCAACATCAATTCTTATCTTACTTGACTACACACCAAAACTGCATTCTCTTTCAGTTCGACTGAGGAATCTAATGAATATGACGAAAATGTTAACCGATCAAAATATTTGTCAATGTTTAACAAAACTAATCAGACATTTAACCATTATGTAAGTCAATTATTTCTCTACAAACTTCACTGCTTTTTTTTGGGATTTAGGGCGATCAATAATCTAAAAGATTTATCTTTCTACGAACGATTACCAGTTGTATTCGCGCATCTTGATTCCTTAACATTATCATACGAGAACGTGAATGATTTGTATCTTCCCATCACGCTTCTCCTATTGAAAATAGCTTCAAAATTGCGAACAATGAAATTGTGTATTAGCCCATATTATGATAAGAAGAATCTCGATCAATTTATGTCATGGCTTATTGATTACATGTATCAGCGTGATCTGTCTCATGTTGATGTACAATTAAGCAATAATCAAATATCCTTTTGTTTTTAGTTTTTTTTTAATATAAACACGAATAATTGAGTTTCTTAAAGTTTTATTCTTGATGGAGTTTTTGCCAGTTCGTTTTGGAAATAATTTGAGCCAATTGCTTCAAGACCATTGTATTTGATATTCAATACTGTTAGTGTCTGGATAGAAATATCAAAGTGTGGATAAGTTCAGCAGATTAAAAATAATTTTACTGTGTTATATTTGAGCCCAGTTGCCAAGTGTTCGGCACCTTCAGGACCGAGATGATTCAACGAAAGATCTAACATAATGAGGTGCTGGAAGAAGCCGATCAATTCATTAATTCATGAATAAATTCTCACTTGGTTACTCTTCAAGGTATCTGCAAGATATTTAGCTCCTTTGAAATTGATATTATTCACCGATAAATCGAGAGTTTTTAACGTCTACAACAACTGGCCTTGACGTTGAGTGAATTCAGATCTAATCTTACTTTGTTGCGTTTCAATGCATTGGCGATGAATTTCGTTCCTTTCGAACTGATTGAATTCGACGAAAGATTCAAGGTAGTAAGCATCTATATTGAGTAATAGAAATGAATATGAAATAGTTCGACCTACTTTATTATACTGTAGTGTAATTGCGAAAAATTCTGCACCTAGATCACCGATTCGATTGTTGTACAGATTGAGAGTGGTCAGTGCCTAATGAAGTTTCGAGTAAATTAAACAAATATTCAGCTTATTCTTACTGTTTCATAGTACAATGCTTTCGCTAAATGCTGTGCACCTTCACTATCGATTTCTTGGTAATTGATCGTCAATGTAGTGAGTGTCTATAGTTGAGTATATTAATAGAAATACCATCGATAAAAACGACACGATATTTACTGTGTTATGTCGCAATGCGTTGGATAATTTTTGTATACCGTCGCAATTGAGAGTACAGAAGGATAGATTTAATTCATCGAGCATCTATTTCGAAGAATTCCCAATCGATTTTCGCGTATGTGACATAATTTACCTTATATCGAGGATAAGTATTTACAATAGCGTTGATACGTTTACATACATTTTGCATGGATATAAGAATATCTACTACTTGGAGATAGTCGAGTATTTGATACACAATCTCCACGGGTAACGTTAATAGTAGTGATTGAAATTTGACATCATTTAACAAAATTTCTTCAGCGGATGTTCCTGACTTACTTTTACGTTTAAACAGATTCATAGTTGTTGCCTGCGTACGAAAAAAAACCGTCTCGTGATTGTGCAATGATACACCAAAGCATAAGAAAGATGTCTACCAACTGGTATGACACATACACGTTGAGTCATCATCAATTTTGCGTCAAAAAAGGTACTTTTCATCTCATTTTACCAACTTTCTTAATATTTTCAACAGAAACGGTAAGATTTTCTTATCAAAGATACCGCTAGTTAACAGTAAAATTGTATACTTTCTTTATTATAAACAAAAAAGGCTAACTTGAATATACTAACGAGAAAAAGAGTTCCTTTCCACATACAAATGAATTGTCATCAGTGAAAAACAACTATCAACAAAGCCACAATTATCGTAAAGAATATTGATGCAGATAAGCGATGTCTAGTACCATTAGTATTGGTCAATGCACTCTTTAAATCGTTCGATGTATAGATAGTAATTCGACCGCCCATACCCGGATGCTTGCTCGAGCCATAGTAATAGATACCAGGTGTACGAAATGTCACTGAAATAGCATTGCCGGTAAGAGTGATCGGAAGACTGAATTGATCACTCTGAGTGGTTTCAGAACAAAAATTAGGTTCAGAACTGCGCTGACAAACTGTGAAAGGGTCGTCTGGTGCGTTTGTATCTAACACAAATCTCAGTTGTTCATTGATAGATGCCGTTAAATTTTGATTTAATGTTCCATTCAAAGCAAATGTATGACCGATAGCGGGTGGATTTCCTTGTGGACAAGTTGAAGATGAATTGCATGGAACGAATGTAACCGAATATATTACATTACTGGTCAAAACGTGAAAAACTCTGGTTAGAACCAATAGGAAGAATGACAATTTCAATAAATGAGCCATGTATTCTATATGCGAACTTATCGTCGATACGAATAATAATGATATAGATGTTCTGAACACTTCTATTTAAAGAAGGTGAACACACGGGCAATAAGTACTTATTGAGATGATATTCATTCATGCGTGTCATTGATGAATACATCAAGTGAGACATTTCATTTAATTACAAGTGTCTTCTACAGATAAGAAAAGAATACAATCATCGCATGATCTAATTGAAAACTTTCAACTTCTAATGAACGTATGAGTCATGTCGAGAATATTTCTTTACGCGCGATTGTGTTTTTTTCTCTTTTCTTGAATTCGAATGGATCCATTCGTTCTGTCACGAAATGCCTTCAATATGTATTGTTCGCGGTATGTTCAATGTGGTCAGAATAATAATAGCAATCAATCAAATCTAAACATTTCATGTTTGAAAAAAACCACAGCTCATCGAAATCAAGAGTATAGGAAAGCAATCGAGCGACTCAATCAACGATACGAATACTTTTTACAAACACTTGACCGATTGAAAATGTCAGTGGAATGTACAGCACAGAATTATAATGTGAATTCAAGCAATAGACAACACATCGATACATCGACATTGTCATCAAATGCAAGTAAACGGAGTAAGAAAAAGCGATTTGGGAAGAAACGGAGTCAACGGCAATTACCAAAAGTACACATTAGGATTTCATGTGCTGAACATTGTATTGAAAAACAGCAACCGCATATCAAAATTAGATGACGCATTTACTGTGATATTTTTCAAATATTACAATTATTTCTGTATAACATACGAAGCATGTCACGTCTATAAACAATCCAGTGAGATTCGAAATAGTTTTCATTGGAGAATTCTCTCATCCGAATCTGAAAAGAAGTTGTTTGGTCTAGTTTTTAGCGAAGAGCTACATTCAGAGCATATTGTCATCGATGAAAAGTAGCGATGTGGGATGACACGACTTTCTTTCAGTTACGCTTCATCGACGACAAAATACAATTTACGAAAACGAATGAAAAAATAGAAAAGGAGAAGAAAAATATATGATATTGCTTGTTTGATTCGGCTGCATTATCCGATAGTAGCGGAGAGAAACGTCATTCGGATTGAAAATAGTATGGCAGACACGAAAAAATACGAAAGACTTCACGAATATCCTCTTCGCGATGTCGTGGAAATACCAGCCACTTATGGTAAGATCAGATTCTTCTTTACATTTCTTCTTAGTATACAAATAACTCTAAGGTGATTGTTTCTAACCGATCACCATTTTACTACACGATTACTGTCAACTAGAATAGAGTATGAGGGTTACAGAATGGATGCTAAGAAACAAGAATAACGAGTTAATTCAGTTCTTACATATTGCATTCACTAATTAGGCGCTGTCCAGTCACAACCGTCAGCGGTAGGTGGTGAAAATAAACCACCACCAAAACAAACTCTACTTCTTAGTGCTCTTCAACAATTCGAACATATTCCTATTGAATGCGTATGTTCATCTTGTCAACAGCATATTATCACTCGTACTGTAAAGAAAAATGGTGCTCTGAACTGGTTGACTTGCGGTGGAACCTTCATACTGGGCTGTGTTGCAGGATGCTGCTTAATTCCATTTTGTATTGATGCTCTTAAAGTACGGTTCAAACTTCCTATATGCACGATTCCTTATTTCTTTTATTTAGAATACATTGCATTATTGCCCGAATTGTGGCAAACTACTGGCAGAAGTCAAACGTATTTAATACATATATTTTCAAACAAATAAGGATTGGCCTATTTCTTTTTAACTCTTATCAATAATATCATCTTGATTTTTCTTCTTTTCTATTTTCATACAGTACCTCGACCGATCCAGTAAAATCTTCATAGAGTTACCATACACTTTCATTCTTTAATTTTATTTGAAAATTCAATAAAATATATATAAATCAACATTTTAATAATATGTGTCTATAAACCTGAAATGAAAATGATATTTTAAATAAATATTAGTTATAAAATTCTTGCATTACCAAGCAACTAATGGCATAATGTCAATGTTTGACTCATTGACATACTTTTAATCGATTGACCGTAAAAAAGAGATGGTCATCGTGATCGTATCATTATTTTACAAAAAAAGCTCGGCGAAATCCTGTATCCATACGTTTTTTTGGAAAAGAAAAATCCATTAGATGAACTAGTAACACTGTTGTCATCGATGTTTTCGTGTTTCATAACACTTGATTCGCTCTGTTCCAATCATTTTGACGCCATTGAAAAGCGAAGACGTGGGATGCAGCGCTTGTCGTTTGGTTACGCTTCGTCGGAGAAGACATATCACCGATAAAAATGAATCTGAAAGAAAAAATAGAAAACGAGAAGAAAAAAAATCACATTGCTTATTTGACTCGATTGCATTATCCGATAGTAACTGAGTGAAACACTACTCGGGTCGAAAACAATATGACAGACACAAAAGAAGCCGAAGCCAATGCTTCGCTCACCCTTCTCGAGATCAAGGAAAATACGGCTGCTCAACAACCGCCAACGTATGGTAAGACGCTGTTTCAAACAATTTTCATTTCACTTCGTTTCAAGCTACAGGACTTCCGTGGATAGAGATAAAACTGGATCACACGAATTTCTTTAGAACTATTGTATACCATTGACAATAGTGGAGGAATGTCTCTCGAACAGGGATTAGTACATTGAATGACGGGAGAGGGCAAATACGATCAGAATTGCTTTCCATTCATCTGTTGTGTTATTCTGTTAGGCACCGTGACGTCACAAGCATCGTCATCGAGCGCTCCAAAATCACCTTCGGATTCAATCGTTATCAGTGTTCCAGAAGTGTTCGATCATGACCCCACGAGCTGTTTATGTTGGAATTGTCATCAACGTATAGTTACGCGTACTGAGAAAAAAATTGGCTATTTACCGTGGATTATCTGTATGGCCATCGGATGCCTTTGCTGTTGGTTAGGATGCTGTTTGATTCCATTCTGCATTAGAGATTTGAAGGTGTGATAATAATATCCGATTTTTTTTCTCAGCATTCCTTTCTGTTTAGGATACCGAACATTATTGTCCAAACTGTGGAACATTTTTGGCACAGAAGCGACGAGTATAATATCAATACTGATAATCACTTGAAGTTAACTTACCTAATGCGTATCCAATAACATCATCATCATCATCTCTTTTATTTTATTTTAATTTTACGTCTTTTGATTAAATGTTTTGCCCGTTTGTCATCAGAGTGTGTGAATATAAACATGGCATACTTCTTTTGTCTTAAACATTCCTAATATTTCTCGATTCAAAATACAATATTTCAGTAGCCTACATATTTTCATTTTTTAATACAGCTCGCATCCATATAGTCAGATTTGATTCCTTGGAACAAAACACTGCGAGGATGTATTGGACGTTAGCGTCCTCTACACAAAAACATTTAATATTCATCGAATACTCTCAACCGATTGAGATATATGATTCACGCAAATCCTTTTCCTATCATTAAGAAAATTGTTATTCCATAAACAAAGTCAAATTTGCAAACAATACATCATCGATCAAAATCCAACATACGATGATTCATAAAAAAATTTCTCAATATCCCTTCAGCGTTAGCAACATGTACTCTTATATAACTGATTATTTTAATTACAAAAGATTACTCCGTTTGATTTCATCATGTCTACAACATCGAAAGATGGCATTCCATCCATTGCCTTGGAAGCTGCTCTCAAGCCCACATCATCATCCATTGACCTTTCATCACATTTAGTTGTTCATGGTCATGATTTTAATAAACCCGGCCCCGTTGATTACAATGCTCTGTTAAATTCCTATGTATCGACTGGTTTTCAAGCCACACATTTCGGCCAAGCATGCCAACAAATCAAATCCATGCTTGAAAATGACTCTCTGATTTTCTTTGGTTATACATCAAACATGGTCTCCAGTGGATGCCGGGATATCATACGTTACTTATGTCAGCATAAACTTATCCATGTTCTTGTTTCAACTGCTGGTGGAGTCGAAGAAGACTTTATAAAATGTTTAGCGCCAACTTATGTCGGAGAATTTACGTTAAATGGACAACAGTTACGAGCCAATGGAATCAATCGTATTGGTAACTTATTAGTACCGAATACAAACTATTGCAAATTTGAAGATTGGTTGATGCCAATATTGGATCGGTTTGTTGATGAAAATGAGAATAATTGCATTCTGACACCATCGAAACTAATCGAAAAACTCGGCAGAGAAATCAATAATGAAGAATCAATCTATTATTGGTGTGCTAAGAATGATATTCCCGTGTTTTGTCCGGCGATAACTGATGGAAGTCTGGGCGATATGTTATATTTTCATACATATCGCAAACCCGGACTGAAGATTGATATTTTAGACGATTTGAAAAGAATCAACAATTTGGCTGTTCATGCAAAGTCAACTGGAATGCTGATTTTAGGTGGTGGAATCGTTAAACATCATATTTGTAAGTTAGTCTCCTCAGCAGCGAGAAGTAGTTGCTAAAAAAAGATTTTGATTGTATGCTCCACTTGCAATGACGAATGATTCAAACCTTGACATCTTTACGATTATACATTTTACGATTTTTGTTATCAGCACATGCCTAGGTACATCTCAACGTTACAAACTTTTCGAATTATTTCAGGTAACGCCAATCTAATGCGCAATGGTGCTGATTATGCTGTTTATATCAATACAGGATCGGAATACGACGGATCCGATTCAGGAGCAAGTCCGGATGAAGCGATTTCCTGGGGTAAAATTCGTTCAGTGGCCAAGCCAGTCAAGGTTCACGGTGATGCCACTTTGATATTTCCATTACTTGTTGCTCAAACATTTGCGCAGCATATGCAAAAGAAATCGTCAACTAATTAATTGAAACAACTTTTTTCCAATATGTTCTCACACGCAAAGCAAATCAACCATCAATATTTTGTTTTGTTCTAGATATAAACAAATATGTATTCAATTCGTCCACATAGTTCAGGAAATCTCGAATTGAACTTACCCACGTCGATGTATTCGGTTAGACCAATCATTGAACAAACCAATCCTAGTGAATCAGCGTTGAAGGATATTAAAAAACGGCAAGATGCTTTATTAGAAAAGATCGAGCATTTGTATAATCAGATTCGTCAATATCAAGAGAAAGCATCAACTCCACCTAGTCACGAAGAATTTGTCGTGCATCTTTCGGCGAAAAATCCATCGACAAAGATTCTCGATACGATTCGACAATTTCATGACAAGTTATGCATTCGAACATTTCGTCATTCGTCATTGAAAGACAATTTGGTTTTTAGTCAGCTGCCAAATTTATCGTCATCAAACAATGCAAATCGATCACTAAGTATCATCTGGACTGATGAGAATGACCTTTCTTCGATGTTTCATTCACATATGAAAATCAACGACGAGCAACAAATTATTAATTTACTTTCTCACCACTTAACAAATATGAATTGATCACATAGCTCTCTTTTCTACTCACACATAAATAAATAATAAAGAATGTATTAGTCGATATGTTTTTTTCTTCTCTGTCTCTCTCTCCCATTCTATGCTTCTGATAAACATACGATTACGAGTGGATTGCTTCACAATCAGAGAGGATGAAAAAAAAGAGCGAGAGAGAGAAAATATAAAAAAGTAACTCATTTTTATACGTAAGACGCACAAATATGCACGTAAATGCAATATGTCTGGTTTTATTGACTCTGATACGACGTCAGAGTGCCGACGTGTGAAATATGTAGTAACGAAAACGTTTATCTTGTTAACCTTATTTTTAGATGTCAGAATATACAGGAACAACTCATGATAGTCGACGACCATCTCAATCGGAATCAGTATCGATTAGCCAGCAAGACCAGCAATCATTGAAAGCAAGTCGTCATCCGAGTATATCAAATAGTAGCAGTGGAAAAGATCAAACTGTTGCTGCAACATCGATATCGTACGATGACCGATCCAAATATCGTTCGCCACTGGTTTCGCGTTATGCATCAGCGGAAATGAGTTTTAATTTCAGTGAAGTGAAGAAATTTTCGACATGGAGACGTCTTTGGTTTTGGTTAGCGAAATGTCAAAAGGTAAGAGAGTGGATTGATTGACCGAGAAGAAGAACGATGACTGATTGTGGTACTTGTAGCAATTAGGCTTGGATATTACTGACGAGCAATTAGATGAAATGGAAAAGAATTTAACAAATATTGATTTTGATACAGCTGAAGCGGAAGAACGCCGTCGTCGACATGATGTCATGGCTCATGTGCACACATTCGCACGTTGTTGCCCGAAAGCTTCGTCAATTATTCATCTCGGTGCAACATCAGCCTATGTGGGCGACAATGCTGTACGTAAATTCAGAAAAAAATTGCTTTGATCATGAAATGATTTTGTTCCCGATTAGGATTTGATCGTTATGAGAGATGGATTTGAAATTTTGATTAGTAAAGTAAGAAAACGGATTTTATCTCGAATGAATAGATCTATCGAATGTTTAGCTCGTTCGATGTATTCAACGATTAACTCAATTTGCACAAGACTATGCTTGTCTACCAACGTTGGGTTATACGCATATGCAGTATGTCGAGTAGCCTACGTCGAGATGATATCGTTCTATATCTTCTTAGACCGGCTCAGTTGACGACAGTCGGAAAACGCGCATGTGTTTGGATTCAAGATTTATTGATGGACTTGAAAAATTTTGAACGAGTAAAACGCCAATTGAAATTCCGTGGTGTCAAGGGTACGACCGGCACCCAAGCGTCATTTCTACAATTGTTCAACGGTGATCATTCGAAAGTAGGATGAAGAAAGAAACGATTTTTGATAATCTTTTTTTTCGGAATAGGTTGAGGAATTGGATCGAATGGTAACGGAAATGGCCGGATTTTCCAAGTAAACTACTTACATGAACAGAAATACAAACTCATTTCCATCATCTAGAGCTTTTATCATTTGCGGTCAAACATATACGCGTAAACTTGATGTTGAAGTCATGACTGTTCTTGCCAGTTTCGGTGCTACAATTCATAAAGTAATAGACATTCTACACGTGTTCATCTATTGGAAGTTCGAGTTTCTTTTTACAATTGTAGATGTGCACTGACATCCGTTTATTAGCAAGTTTGAAAGAAATTGAAGAGCCATTCGAAATCGAACAAATTGGTAGGAGTAGCTATTTATTTGAAAATTCATATTCTTTACAAAAATCCACCACAGGCTCGAGTGCAATGCCTTACAAACGTAATCCAATGAGATGTGAACGATGCTGTGCCATGGCACGTCATTTAATGACCTTAATTAATGATCCACTCGGAACACACTCCGTTCAATGGATGGAACGAACATTAGATGATAGTGCGAACAAGTAATCAGTTCACCAAATGATTCTTATTTTCGTTCAATACTTTATTTCATAAACTTAGACGTATTTGTATCCCGGAAGCCTTTTTAACTACTGATATTATCCTTTTTACTTTGCTGAACATTACTGAAGGTCTCGTCGTTTATCCAAAAGTACGTTAAAAGTTCACATGAGCATCCAGCTAACACTCATTCATCCATGTAGGTTATTGATAAACATATCAAGCAGGAATTACCTTTTATGGCAACAGAAAATATTATTATGGCTATGGTAAAATCGTTGAAACAGATAATCACTCTCGAATGAAATCATTTCAGGTGTCGGCTGGTGGTAATCGTCAAGAATGTCATGAAAAGATTCGTACATTATCTCAAAAAGCTGCTGAACGAGTGAAAATGGATGGTTTAGATAATGATCTTGTCGAACGTGTCAAAGCAGATCCTTACTTTGCGCCCATTGTCGGCAAATTGGATGTTCTTCTAGATGCAAAAACATTTATCGGACGAGCACCTGAACAAGTAAATCGAGGTTGACTAACTGGCTGCCTGATCCCTTTTGTTTTTATTTTCTAGGTCTACGAATTTATTTCCCGTGAAGTCGAACCGGTACTGAATAACTTCGCATTGGTCATTGCATCGAATTCGTCGAAACTGGCTGAATTAGCTGTCTAACTTGATGACAGTTCTTTTTTTACAATTATCTCCGTTTCTTTACTGAATAAAACCGTAGTTATAGAACAAAAATAGATTCCTGGGCAAACTAAGGAGCTCACGGCAGTCTATCCCTCGCACTAAAGATAAAGCCGACAGTAATTGTCTCGTGTTAGAGATACTCCTTCTCTAACGAGCACGCGAGTAACTCTTCTATCTTTCAGATGCAATCGAATGACTATATAAAACTACAAGTTTGTCCAGTTGATGATAGCACCAGTTCGAAATCAACTGTCGGTGCAGCGAACCTTTCGTTTATCATCCGCGATGAAGACCATACGTTAGGCAATTCACTCCGATATGTGATCATGAAAAATCCAGCGGTCGACTTTTGTGGATACACTATACCTCACCCATCGGAATCGAAAATTAACTTTCGAATTCAGTCCAAAGTGAACGAAGATTCAACAGCTGTACCCGCTCTTGACATATTTCGACAAGGCTTAGTGGATTTGAAACAAATGTGTTCGATTGTGTTAGAAAAATATGAAGAAAATGTCAAGAATTTCAAAGAGATGGAAACGAATTAACGTTCATTGCTTTTTTTTTTTGTTATGAAAAATAAATATGAACATTTGAAAGGAATAACAAGATATTTTTTTCTATCAATAACGTTCTCTTGATTAGTAGAGCTTTATGTAAACTAAGAATGTAAAGAATTTTGCGTGCGATTGCATAAAAAATGTAAAAAAAAAGGAAATAATCGTTCTCTCACGTCGTGTGAGCTAATCCTAACGAAGAAAGTAGAGGGCGTTGTAGCAGAGCGCTACATATCATCGCTGAAGTCAGATCGATCGTAGCGTTATCTCTACTTCTATCTCTCTTACTATGACTATTCTTCCAACATCTGTTTGTTACATATCTATTTATTCAATATTGAACTAAAATATGAGCATAGATTAACAGTGAACATTAGTATGAGTAGAATGTCTCAGGTTTGTTGTTTGAAATGAAGTCAATGTTACGATTTGTTCATATTTAGTACGTTGAAAGTCGACATCGGGTGTTTTGCTACGGACGTTGCATTACCGGTCAAAACCATAGCATATTTTGTCTTGCACTTCTATTAATTACGGTTACATCTAGTCTTTTCTTTGTTTTTGAGTACGAAAATCATCGAGATCCTTCTGCCCATCATCTACCATTGATTTTCATTTTAGTTGTCCTTATTTAACCAAAGAACTCAGCCCATTGATACCAGTTTTTGCTGCTATTCTATTTCTCTCTGTTATTTGTTGTATTTTACGAACTGCTTGTACAGATCCAGGCATTCTTCCTCGTGCAACACCCGACGAACTACTTTACTTAGAAAGGACAGGTAAAATATTTCTCTTGCCATCTATGAAATCTCATGTATTATTATCACTTGCGACAGATAATACACAAACAGTTGCGCTCTCTGGTCGAATCATGGAGCTTCAAATGCGTAGTGGTCATGTTCTACAATTGAAATTTTGTCAAACATGTCGACTCTTCCGACCGCCGCGAGTATCACACTGTTCATTGTGTAACGCATGTATAGGTAAGACGAAAAGATAAAAAAACGATGAGAAGATAACTGTGTCTCTTTCTTTTTTTAGCAAATTTCGATCATCATTGGTTTGTATTCATGTTTTTGCACATTTCAAAGTTGTTATTGCATGTATATTTTAGTCCATGGGTTGGAAATTGTGTTGGTTTAAGAAATTATCGATATTTTTATTTATTTTTGTTCTCATTATCGCTGCTTTGCACTTATATTTTCGTTTTTAATATCGTTAACATTGTTCTACGTAAGTAATCAAATCGACATTTTCGATTTGCGTTGAGTATCTCACTTGAACTATCGTCTTCTACTACTTCATAAATTCGCTCTCCTTCGGACAAACGATTTACAGCAATAACGCTTTGGGGAATGCATTGAATTGAATTATCCTTATTGGAATAGAATCAGTCGAGCGATTCTGCTATTCTATCGAATTAATGAGAGGAGAAACTGACTAGACATGTTTTTAGGTTCGCAGAACAACTCGACAGTTGCAGATGCCATACGTGAAACACCAGCGACCATGGCCGAAGCACTCATCTGCTTCTTTTCAATTTGGTCCATTATTGGTCTTTGGAGTTATCATACATATTTAATTTGCCGTAGTGTAACAACAAACGAAGATGTATGTTTGAGAAATTAACCTAAAACACATTTCCTATTGCTTGTTTACAGATTAAAGATACATGGGCTACACCGCATCGTGGAGGAAATCAAATCAATCCATTCTCTCGAGGCAATGGATTAGTAAATTGTTTTGCTACTTTATGTGGACCATTACCACCGAGCTTTCTCAATCTACGAGCGATCGTCAAACAAGAGAATAGCATACCGATGACAGTAACTGGTACGAATAATAATAATAATAACACTTCGGACGGAATCGTAAGATACTTTCCTGAAGAAAATGGGAACTACTCTAATCAGGTGGTAAGTGATTTTCTCGTTAGAATACACTGATTCTATTTGAATATTTTCACTTTTGTAGGGAAACACTTCTGGAATACATTCTACTCAGCAACAACGTTATCTACCACGTGATTACGCATGAAATGTCAGATTTATTTTCATTTTTTTGTTGTTGTTTTGTTCTGTCATGCATTTATTTTGAGAATTTCTTTTTTCTATGTAAGCGAATGTCGTTGGATGTGTTTCAGCTTAATGTGTTAATCAATCAAAAAAAATATATATACAGAGAATTCTTCTTAAATTCAGATTCTAATGCGTGCTGTGATTCAACGCGTTCTTCGAGCTAGTGTTCGAGTAGGTGATGATCTGATCAGCTCCATTGATCGCGGCCTCTGCGTTCTCATTGGTATTACTCATGATGATGATCCAAGTGATGTTGATTACATCGTGAAAAAGTTACTCTCTATTCGACTATGGCCGTCGGCTGACGGTAGTAAAAATTGGACTCGAAACGTTGTTGAGATCGATGGAAGTCTTTTGTGCGTTAGTCAATTTACTCTACATGCAACATTGAAAGGAACAAAACCAGATTTTCATTTGTCAATGTCCGGTGAACAATCTAGGGTTGTCTATGAAAAATTGTTAAGTCAATTGAAACTAAGTTACAAATCGGAGAAAATTTTCGATGGACAATTCGGAGCAATGATGAATGTAAATATCGGTACGTATTTTTGAAGATTTGAATTAAGTTAAAATATCATCTCATCGATGTATTCTAGAAAATGAGGGCCCTGTGACCATTATTCTCGATAGTCGCTCGAAGAAACCTATGACAACAACACCAGCAGCAGAAGCGAACGCCGACGAAGATTAAAACAAACTTTCGATCGACACAATAATGCAACGTCAAACATAGGACATCGGAGCATGTCTACTCGCTTTATATTGTTCTCGAAAATCTCATTTATTGCGATGAACTCAGAAAGTATCAATAAACTCTCTTGGTACAACGGAATATTCTATTAATTATTTATTTCCCACGCATTTGTCATTCTGCCTACAACAACATTAGTCTGCTGACTATAGTGTCACAATCAGAGACATTTCAGCTTCCATGATATTTCCGATCCAAAAGTAATGTGTGTTACCAGATATGCTCAGTTATTGTAGAATATCGAACTGAGTTTGTAAGCGATTGAAAGAAATAAGAAAATCCGTAGATCGTTAGATTTTAACGGTTTGAACTCAGAAGTCACACGATGATGAAGTTGATGAAATCATCTCAAAATATCTAAAGAACTCTTTGGAGAGTTTTTGAGAGGTACAATTTATTTATAGTAACAATTCTTATTAATTTCCAATTTGAACAGAATCATTGTTTATTTTTCAAAGAAATCGTAGGCGTACGTAACGATGTGTACATTTATTCCATTCGGAATGAATAAACCATTTCTATCACTCATTTTACCGGAGAGAACACACTTTTAAGATATTCATAGGACGTGTTGGTGAACTAAGAAACTAGAAGAACCTTTGGCAGAATGTTTCGTAGTAGTGCTAAATATGGATGGAAGGATGTGTGCAAAGTCAACATGTGATTATTGAATTATTCATGATGAGTAAGACATTGTCGGAAGTGTATTTCAAAATGAACAGTGACCCAGGCTGTTTCTTCCGTCAACGATCGTTAACTTGCCAAACTTCTTTCGATTATTATGTATAATTACGACTACTAGGTGAAATAGGACTACCCAAAGGACATGGGTGTAGCAAAGTGCTCTATGAAGGTCAGTTCTTTGTTTATGGTTATTTGAGAATAAATATTAACGCCATGCTAAGACAGATCGTATAGAGCTTTTTAATTAATCAAGTCAATCAGACGCAAACTTATTCTAGTCTCAATATGATTAGATTTCGATGTAATTCGAGTGTCTTATTGTCGTCATTAAGAATATGATGTTTCAATGATGCCGGTGATGCAGTCCATATCAGTAGATATCGATTGGAAATTTCAAATTTGATCGATTGATCATGTTTATAAACGATCTGAGAATGAATACCATTGACAATCAATCGATTGATTAAACAGAAGATAATCGACAGACTTCATTGTAATCAACTAAATTACGTAGGAATGAAATCCGATCTGTGGAAGTTTAGGTTTCTAATGAACAATCATACTCGTATGTCTCAATGAATTCTCAGAGCATAAATAAAAAGAAACAAACGCTCATTTCAACTACATTTGCAATTGTTGTCATCTAGTGGATATACACATCAAATCATGATTGCATTTACAGTACCAATACTTGTCGTCTTATTAATAACCAGTCAATGTATGGATGCTTATCCATCAGCATCGTCAATTGGTTTGAAAGATAATCATCGCTCACTGAATTTTCGGTTGAAACGTGACTTTGGCTATTTACAACGACATGAATTGGCAAATCTATACAACGATGAAATCCCGGAAGAAAGTTTACAGTATGGTTATGCATTTGTTCCACATCAAACGCGTAAACGTTTAATTGACTTTTAAGTAGAAGCCGCTTGAAATGAAGTTTTCTTTCTTTGTCAACCTTCATCCAAAGAATATGAAATAAAGGAAAAAGAAAAAGTTTCAAACGTTTCATCTCTTCTTCGTTGCTGTTGTCACTCGCCGACTAGGAAAGAAGGTTAATCTTCTTAGTCCGACTTAATATAGTACGAATCTTTCCGGAAATACGGATATGATATTTTTTTTTAGAAGATGAAAAAGAAATGAACAGGAAATTGTTTTCTTTTCTGTCTTTGTCGAAGTTAATATAAATTAAGATTTCTATGAAATTATCATAAAATTAAAAAAGCTCTTATCCTTCATGTTGACAAAAAAAAGAATATTTCCATCAACTGACATTAATTAACTATCAAAAAGAAGAAATAAGACTTTTTTGCGTCTACTATGACAGCCTTGTGCAGTAGTTGAAGTCAACTGATTTGTATACAAGCAAAATCAACGCATTTGTTGATCAACTAGATCTGCTCTACTTGTATTAATATGGATTACACTTTAACAAAATAGATTAATGTTAGAAGTAAGGAGAAAAAGTGAATGCAAACATCATCAACAACAACAACAACAAATATTCTAAAGGAACGCTTTTTCTTTCTTTTCACTAAAGTGTTCTCCTTATCGGACACATAAATGATGAGGCGAGAAGTGTCGAACATTTTCATCAAGACATACGAGGCAAGTGAACGCATTTTCAGCTGCCAAAGAACTAGGAAAAGTTATAATGACAACCTTCTAATCTTTACAGGTAGAAGTTGTTTTGGACTCTTCAATTTCTATAAATATGCGCTTGAATGAATATTCACACTTCTTTCCCTTGGTGTTGGTTAATGCCTTATTCCGCCTTTTCCTTCCCCTGGTAGAATCTTTTTGATAATAAAGATGTATTTCTACATGAAGGTATAATAGTCTAAACATCTTTTCCTTTTTTTCTGTTCTATGCACGAGCATTTGTAATCAGTCATTGATGGATCGTAACGAAAGTAATGATCTGACTGGAACAAGTGTAATGCTACCTTTGGCAACAATCGAAGAAGATATCGACGAGATTGATACTATTACTGATGATAATGAGAATCACTTATTGGAATGTAATTTCATGACAATTACGAGCAATGATGGTAAGAAGTTTTCCATGATCGTGTTATCGAAAAATGAAAGATTAGTTTTTTCACGCGTATATATCGAGAAAATCATTCAATCTGTCATACATGAAACAAGTGGAAATTATCCTTAAGCTATTCATGACGAATAAGAAATTATCATTAGTAGAGAAATATATCCTAGAGACAAAATGATCTAGCACCGATTGACAATATAGTGGGCCTCTCGACTAAAGAAATTTCCCAATTCACTTGCAAGATACTCCGATGATGGTATAGACGATATTCGTCAGTTCTCTCTTTCTTTGTCAAAAACAAAACTATTGTCGACTAGGACTCAGTTGTGCGCTTTTCTTTGTCAAGAGAAGAACGGCAGGATGAGAAATCGTAGGTTGGACTTTTTTTTCCCTTAATTTCATTCCTAAATTTCGCGTGTGTTTCATTCGACTTCCTGTTATTTAGCCAATCCATTACATATACACCAATCAAATAATGAAATATCAACCGAGCCTGTTGCTTCAACTATCCAACATTATCCTCCAAACGAGTAAGTGAATTGAAAGGAAATGATGAATTTAGAAAATGAAACCTATCTGAAAAGATTTTTCAATAGAGAATGACACGTTCTTTCTTTTTTTCTTTCTCTTTCTCTTTCTTTTTCTCCACTTCTCTCAATATATATATATATATAATGATATAAATAAAAAATACGTTGTCAATAGCTTGGATCCATAGGAAAGTATTTCCGAATGAATGAATTGTCATTATCTAGTTGAGGTATGAGTGCTATCTTACGTTCATTTTCTTTCCTTTCCGTAGGATTTGCGCATGTATTCAACGTGTATGTATAGACGAAGGTGAACGCTTCTGTCATCTAACATTTAATTGCATTTTTCTCCTCAGATATGAATGATGAGAAAAGAAGAATACTTAAATACACTTCTTCATCTTTATTTGTCTAGTTAGACAGAAGAAAAAGCAATCGCTGTGCATTCGAAAGATGTCCACATGACAACAAAACGTATGTGATGATTATGATTACATACATACTAACGCTAAAGTGTCTCGTATTTCCTTTATACTCCTTTCAAAAGAAATAATTAAATAGGGAAAGCTAGAAAGTCTAATCAACACATTCGACTACTATACGGAAACCGTTTCATTTAACTGAGATTTATTATTCTTCGCTTTACGTTTTTTTTCTCATTACGATTATTGACAATTTTCTAGAGCAATAAAAAGCGAGCACGCACATATGTAGTTTTATTATTAACTATACAAGAGAGAGAGAGAGAAATCAAACTTTCCCATTTCTATCTTTCTCCTTCTTTTTTATCTAGAAGTATTTATCTATTGTCTGAATAAATCATTATTGATTTGAATCGATATTTTATATTACTGAGCGAAACGATTCTTTTACTGAGAGATCTTCTTTTCTTCGTCGTTGTCGTCTCGTGTCGAACGACAAAAACGAGTTCAGTCTAATCATCCATCTATCGAAATGAAAGTGATCGATGTAATAAATTTTGTACCAATTTGCATGACAAATCATGAACACGAGCGAATAGACAGCAACAACTAGTTTGATGTGTGTTTTTCTTACACTCTCGCTTCGTTTTTTTCTCTTCTCTTTCTTATCATCATCATCATCAAGATATTTATAGACTTTTATAGTTGACTAACAGAATTATTCTAGAAAAAAAAAACTTGTTCAGTTCCCATGATTTGTCGTTTGATAGATCGAGAGAAAATGAAGAACATCTCTCAATAGGCATATCATCATCATAATCATCATTATCGACGTCTCGCCTCTTTTTTCTCTTCTCTTCAAATAGTACTGGACTGTAAAAGAATAAATAGAGAAAAAAGCTTTTTATATACTCCTACTGTTTGAAAAACTAACATTGGCATTGACTCGCATTGAATTGACCTAATCGCAACATGTCGATACCTATATTATTTTTTCTTCGATTGCTTTCTTTTCCCTTCGTAGTTTTGTGTCATTATCAGTTTCCAATTCATCTACGCACCCTATCGATTCTACCAAGGATATGATCGAATTAGTCGAGAAAACAAGAAGAAAGGAAGGCACATCTTGACAAACAAACTGCGTGAAGAGATTTGAGAACGCAAAAACATTTTCTTATCGTCATTAGTTTTAGAGACGAATCTTGTAGTACTAATAGTACTATTGTTCCATTCATTGTCGTCACACACGATGAAACTGGAACAATTATGCAATCCGAAACATCTACGGTTGGAACACCCTCAAGATCACCTGTCAATATGGATAACATAAGTTTGAAAGGTACGAGAATGTTTGTTGGTCATTCTATTGTACAAGTATATCGTTGATTTCGATCTCTTGTTTAAATAGATTACTACAGTCCAACATCTTGTCCTGGTTCGCCAATTCTATCTAGAAAACTTCTTTTATCCAGATCAACTGCTTCAACCTTATCTCCACCTGGTGTTCCCTTAACAGCCAGTTCGACTAGTTTAGCAAGTGCAGGAAAACGACGCGGCCTAGGATTAGCTAGCGCTCAACGAGCCAGTCACAAAAGAGCGCATACAGGAAGATCTGTAAGAAAACGATCACTATTGAATGATTCCTGTACTACTTTCTATTGATAGTCTCTTGATCACACACCCAATGAATTGTTTATCGAGCTACAAGAATTAAAAGAAGTCAGCGCAAATGAATACCAATGGCATGAATGTGCTAGGTAAAATATTCAATAAGCTTTATGACATAGACATTCTCTTGCATATGCTTAGATGGATTCGATACGAAGAAGACTATGATTTCGAAATGGAACGATGGCAAGGTAAGCTTCATTTAAACTGAGTTAACGCTTATGTTCTCCTTTCGTAGCTCCGCGTATCGGTTGTTTGAATTTTCACAGTTTACTTGAATTACGTCGAGGTTTACAATACGGTAAGTAGATTACGTGTAAAAGCATTCTCCGTTGTAGAAATTAGTATTTACAAAACATTTGAAAGAGTTTGTCTTGAAAACTGTCATTTGATTCGTCTTAGAGTTGTATCGAAATAGAATTTGATAAAAATAACATGAATCTATTCGCCTACATTCCTCTCGAGAGTTCAAAACAAGTTTTTGGCTCCTTTTCTTAACAACCGTCACTTCCATGTCACACAATTTGATTTTATCTCTTCTCTAGGTATCGTATTGCTCGACCTTGAAGAACAGAAGCTTGAGTCTATATACGAAGCGATTCTTAATGATGCTATTGCTAATGGACAGATGAATAAAGATGTTAAAGATGAAATTCTTCGTCGTTTAACAAGCGTTCACAAGTAGGGATAGAAGTATTTTATTCAATGATTGATTGGATTCGAAATGAATTTCTCAGACATCCTGAAGCACGTTCTTATCGTCGTCGATCGTCAACCGTCGATTGTCCTCCAGCGGCCTCGGGTCGTCGATCAAGTTTAGCCTTTCGTAAGAATGAACAGATCAGTCTCGAAGTCAACAATCGACGCATGAGTCTTCTCGATTCCAAAGCCAATGGTGAAATGAAAAATCTGCGTAATCTTGTAGTCAAAGTTGGTTAATCTCTTTTGAATTGGAAAAAGCACTTTGTCAACTCGATTTTCATCTTTAAGTACGAGAATGCAGAAGAAGTCATTGCGGCTGATTCGCAGCCGAAAAAGTATTTGCCGGAACAAGCTGACTCGGGTACTGATTATAATAGTAATGATAGTGTCAATCAAGCTCCTCGTTTATCTGTTACGCAAGGTGTTTTTATTCAACGACAAGCGCAAGGTTCAGGAAAGAAAAATCGTGATTCAAATCCATATAAAGTAAGATATTGAATTCGTTCTTATCGAAGTTTGACTAATGAACGATTGAAACCATTCTGACAATCTTCCGCATCATCACTCTTAAACAACACGACGCTGCGATGTTTTCGCTGACAAATTAATTGTACTTGAAGCCGAACTCAAGACATGCAAATGTCGATCAGATCTTGTCTAAGTAATTGATATTAAATACAATTCAAGCGTAGTTTTCTGCTGATTTTCGGCCAGGACATCATCAGTCATCTCTCCGGAGATTTCTTCGTCCAAATGAAAAAAATCTCAATAATTCTTGATTATTATCATTTTACATATCTGATGAGACCGTTAATTCGTAGAATAATATTTATCTTTCATTTTAGTCTGATGTCATGCGGTGCGTTTCGGAGAATGCGGAATGCGCTGAAGTGTTAATTGGTAGTATACGCAATTTAACTCGGCCCATTATGGCATTTGTTCGTCTTTCACATGGCCAACTTATTGGTAAAAACTCTTTTTTTCTCTCTATTGTTATTTCATCATTGTTACCGGTTTAGATGACATCACTGAGGTGCCATTACCGCTTCGATTTCTGTTCCTATTAGTCGGTCCAGCCATGGAGGAATATCTTGAAATCGGCCGTGCATTGAGCACACTTTTTAGTACTTTGGTAAATTAGAATTTAAAGAGTTGTTACTTCAATTGATTTTCTCTTTGATGTCAAGGACTTCCGAGAAACAGCCTATCAAGCAATGGATCGTCGTGACCTTCTCCATGGTATTAATGACTTTCTTTCAGATTCCATTGTTTTGCCACCGGGCGACTTTGATAAAGAATTGTTACTACCGATTATTGAAACGAATAAAATGAAAAAAATGAATATCAAACGGCGATCAACTCGTCTACAATCGCAACATATTGATCGACTGCATGACACTGAGCACCAACCATCACAAGGTAAGATGATGATTCGTTGTTAGCCATCTCGTAAACATTCATTTCTTCGTTTTCAGCAGCAAAGATTTTATTATGTAAGTTATAGGGAAGAAATTTCTAGACAAATAAAACGATCTGACTTTAGCCCAGATGTCGACGTTATCACGTGATAAACACGACGAAGATCCATTTCAACGCAGTGGTTTTGTCTTCGGTGGTGTTTGTCGAGAGATGCGTCGCCGTTACGATCACTACAAATCCGATTTTCTCGATGCATTCAGTTTGAATTGCTTTGTTAGTCTCGTCTTCATGTTCATTGCATGTCTTGCACCAGCCTTAACATTCGGTGGCATCATAGGTAAACAAAGATTGTTATCCACAGGCAACGAACTCTCTTGACTTCTTTACTCATTTAGCTGATAAAACAAATAATCGATTAGGTGTGAACGAAATGTTAATGGCCTCGTCAGTGAACGGTTTTTTATTTGGATTTGTTAGCGGACAGCCATTGATGATCCTTGGACCAACTGGCCCATTTCTTGTCTTTGAAGAAATGGTTTACGATGTAAATATCTTGTCGCGCAGAGCAAGATTAATCATGAGTTGTGTCTGTGAGAGGAAACTGTTCGAATGCATATCTATTGAAATGTTATATACTTCATTTGAAGATCAAATATATCTGAGAATAATGAAATATCTGTTTGTGTCTTTCTTCTAGCTCTGCCATTCACTACAAGCAGACTTCTGGACTGTCCGCTGTTGTGTTAGTCTTTGGACTACGTTTTTTATCATCATATTAGTGGCCTTTGAAGGAAGTTTTATGATTCGTCATGTAACACGGTTTACCGAAGAAATTTTTGCACTTATCATTGCTGTTATTTATCTCTACGAACCTTTCAAAAAACTATACAAGGTAAACTTTTCAGTTCGATGATTTTCTCGATGGTTCATTTTGACCTTCTCTCAGATCTTCCTTTCGAATCCCGTTCGATCGAACTATTATTACGATTATCCCTTGTCTTGTTCCTGTAATATGTCCTCGCTATTCAATACGACATTGTCATTCGAAAGTTCCTACCCATCTTCGGATAATTATTCATTTTCGTCGTCCTTAGCAAACTATTCATGCTATCAATGCATACCACCGAAACGTTTTACGTCACCATCTTCATCTCTAAGAACAAACTATACATCGATTTCAAGTGATGAAGCTAATTTGCCGAATAAAGCACTTCTTTCATTTATTATTCTTCTTGGTACGTGCTTCATTGCGGTGGCACTGAAACGTTTTCGGCGAAGTAATTTTTTTGGTCGAACAGTATGTGTAAATCTGTCGAGAAGCACGTTATTGACTTTCTCTCCATTTAGACAAGACAAACATTGAGTGATTTCGGAATGACAATCGCTTTGATATGTATGGTGCTGTTTGATATGTTAATAACACGAAATGCTGGTGGTCATAGTTTAACTCAAGTAATGACTTGTCGAAGAAAGAATGGTTGCATAGGAATTGAACTGTTTGATTCTTGTAGAAAATTACTGTACCAAGGTCTATTCGGCCAAGTGATCGAGAACGTGGAAATCTATGGTTTATATCGCCATTTCGTCGAAGTATTCCGTATTGGGCTTACTTCGCATCATCATTTCCTGCTATACTGATCTCTGTGGTGCTGTTTTTTGAAGTAGAATTAACTAGGTAAGAAAGGATTAAGAACATAATATGATATAGCTTTGTTTGGCTTTTCTCTTCAGCATTATGATACAATCGAAACTCAAATGTGTTCATTCATCAAAAGTGATCAAAGGAACTGGTTATCATCTTGATATACTCATTGCAGGTAAGATCGACATCTGTCCAGTATTCCTTACCAATAAATTTCATCACAGGTGTTTTGATATCAATCAGTGGACTGTTCGGTCTTCCATGGATCTGTGCAGCACCTGTTCGGAGTATTGCTCATGTTGCTAGTCTCTCACGATACAGTAAAACCCATGCACCAGGAGAAAAGCCTCGTCTAATTGACATCAAGGATCAACGCTTGACAAACATTGGCGTTCATATTCTTATTGGTTGTACGATATTTGCAGGACCTATTATTCGTAAGATTCCAGTGGCTGCTTTATTTGGTATTTTTTTATACTTTGGTATTGTTTCCATCCCCGGCACACAACTATTCAGTCGAGTGAAAATGATCTTTATTCCAGCGAAATACCACCCCAACGTTGGATATTTGAGACGAGTTTGTATTCGAATTGGTTTCTGGAAAACACCAATTTTCATTGTTACTTTAGGTTCGACAAACGAAACGTTTTATCTATACAATTATTCAAATGATTGCTGCTGGATTGTTAATCTCAATCAAGATCACCAGCTTTGCTTTTCTTTTCCCCTTTATACTTGTTTTACTTGTTCCATTTCGCAAATGGTGTCTTCCGTGTGTATTCACCGAACGAGAACTCAACGAAGTAAAGCTTTGCACTCGGACCTTTCGAATCCACATCGTTCATTTTCTCTTTCAGCTCGATGGAGATGAAGAAGAAGGAAGTATTTTCGATGACGAAACTGATTTCTATGGTCAAGTACATTTACCAATCTAATCATGCAATTAATCCGGTGGACTATTTTTACTTTTTATTTTATAAATATATATAGAGGCAAAAAAAAAAGAATGAAACGAATACCTTTGTATATGTAAGGGAAAGAATCTTATTTTATCTACGTAGTTTATTTCTTGTTCTCGTTTATTTTGTTAACTACTGTGCGTGTGTATTCTTTTTCGATTACCAACGTGAATTTGCGTCCCATTGAGGTTTTTCAGAATAGAATAAGTCTCGATTGACATGCCAGTGTAGAAGTTCAGCAACGATTGGTTGTTGTTCTTCCGCAAACTTTTTCCATAATTCATGTTGATCCATTACTTCTTTAGCATGAGTAATAAAATGTTCAATACAGTATTGTTTGACCAATTTATTGTTGTATTTGTACGCGGCTCTGAGCAACGTGAGAACATTGTTCGAATCAATGCGATTAACAAGAACTAGAATATAGAGAATGCCATGATTTTGGATGAAGATCTAGATACGTCAAAGAAACTTACATCGACCTGTATGTACTTTTAAATCTTTGATGTCATAGCGACCAGCAGCTTCGAGAAGATAAAATGCTAAAGAGACCATCAATCGAATCGATGATGTTCGAGCGAAGATTTTCTTACCGTTGCCTTCGTTGAGTTCACATTTCCCAGTGTACATAAAAACAACAACCTGTTTCATGATTTCAGGGTCAGTTTTATCAATTACAATAACCAGTTTTTCTTTTTCTGTTAATGTTTCCAACTGTTCTCGTGTGCTTGGATCTAGCCGATTGAATTTACCAGAAATAACAGCTGCGAAAAAGAAGTTTTCAATCGACGATTAGTACCATCCAATGGTCTCTTTTCTCCTTACCGGCAAAGGCGTTTGAACGAGCAGCAAGAATACATTTATGAACAGCCATAAAAGTTCCTAAAAAAGAACAAAGTCATTCATTTGCATGCATACTATTAGAATTACCGTCAACTTTAAGAAAGCAGTCACTAATATCTGTTCGATTGAGTAAATTAGCCAAATCGTCAGATAAATGTTCCAGCAAATTTAAACTATGTTCGGCGTCTGTTGTTTTAGTATAGAAAGAACCTCCATTGCCGTATCGTTGATTAGTACCACTGCCACCTCGGTTTGACCCTGCATGTGGTGGTTGTTGAAGATGAGCGGAGCCCGTTCTGAGTTCCGACTCTCGTCTTGGCGGTGGTGGTGTTACACGAGTTTGTGATTGACTTCGATATTGATCGGTATCAGCCATTGATGAACGTGAAGACGCAGTTGTCACGAAACTTGAATAGACGGTTCTACTTCGAGACTATTTCGCACGGACTATTTATCGAATGTGGGTTTTTATGATTATATGTACGAGAAAGAGAACTGTTAGTTTGAATATTGTCATGGTAACTATCAATATGAAGAATGAAGTATTGGATAAATTGAAAAACTCTTGTCAGTATAAAGGATTTTTATTTCGATCATAAATACTCGAAAAGAGATAAGAGAAATATTTTTACCACAGAAGACTTTAATCTACGTCTATATGAAAACTTTTAATTGAAGATGCAGTGCCTTGATTTATGATCCTTTTCTCTAAGTGAAACACCCGTGCCCGGTAGGAATATTTGATTTATGGAATAATGACAAATTATATGAAATTGAGGTTTTCATTTACCTTGATATCTATCAGTTTCAATATGTACTTTGATTTATCATCCGAATTAATAACATAAGCCGAAGTTTATCAGATTATGACATTGCATATGTCAATAAATTGCAATATCATCAGCTGCAAAAGAGTACACTTCAAGAAAGTGGATCGTTTGATCTTAGTTATACTCTCTTGAATCTGGTCACAGTATTGAATAAGAAAAATTTGTACATGTGAGATTTTATATCATGTGCATGCTCGATATAAATCTAGATTGATGAAACGAAGGTACACTAGTTCAATTTATCCTGATCTTTAGCGAAAGCTGTTGAGAAAGTGATTCATCGAAAAAAAAAAACGATGTATCTAACACAAGCATCGACATGATATATGCAAGTTTATAGAAGAGGTAGAAAGAAACGTGATTCTTCACTGATAATAGAAGTTATCTTGCATGGACTCAGAGGAGAAAATTGAAATTATCAATTATATTAATAGTAAAAAGATCTGATAAACTTTTTGTCTTCACCTCTCACTGTCAGATGATGAGATAGAACGAAAAAGCTAAGAGAATATTGTTGCCTTTGTAATTGTTACTTTTCTCTGCATCCTAAACATTTTTACCTACATGAGTCAACCATCAACAACCTACACATAGCAACAAACAATGAAATCTTCCCATAAGTACCCTGCTCCCGACTCGAGCCGACAGATAGTACGTGATACCGTTCGCCGGTTTGATATGCTCGGTCAAACGAACAATGCAATTTCATCACCACTACCGCCTTTACCTCCACCACCACACCGTCCATCCATTCCCGTTAAAATTAATAATAAACAAATCAATTCGAAAGACGATAGTCCAACAGCTTCTCTAAATTCATTCACTAATTCGACTCATAGCGAATTGATAATGAATTCTGCCGCATCGGAACGCAGACATCTGGTATCAACTAATACATCAAACAGTGCTCCTATTGCTAGACCTAAACCTACTCTGCCTTCACTTACAGCTAATCGACCAACGAAGTTTCGAAGACGAACACCTCCGCCAATACCAATCGAATCAACACCAAGTATTGTTTCTCCTGAAGATCTGTTTTACATAACGTAACTCTATTCTATTCCATAGATAAGCAACGAAACACAATCTATATCAATCGCGATAATAAAACCAATAACCATAAGGATAGATATCAAGAAGAGATTGAAACGGATTCGCCACGAGCCTTCAAAGCTTTTGCCAGGCCAGCGACAGTTTATACAGAACATCGAGTGTCTTCGTCTGCACAAACGGATGAACTTGATTTATCAAGAGCATCCGCGAGTAATAATCAACCTCGTCGAATTGAAAGATCACCTCCTCCGCCACTACCACCGTTACCATTGCCTTTACAAGCATCTGCAGTATGGAGATCACAAGCGAACTACTTAAGAACTTATGTGTTAGAATGTTCTCTTTGAATTTAGAACTCATCAAGAATTGATGACCGTAGTAGTATCGGCTTAGAAATCATTAATCCGGAAACTACGCCTCGACGATATGTTGCTATTCGTCAGAACGGACTTAGTCATCGTCCTGAACGTGTTAAACCTGCATCAACAATTATCGAAGACTACGAAATCGAAGAAGAAGAAGACGATGAGATTGAAGAAGATGAAGAGAATCAGGATGGATCCTCGGAAACTGCTTATCATTCATCGGGGCAACGTCAACCATCTAATTTTGGCAAACCACATCTTCGTTCCAACCAAAAACCTAAATCATATCCTCTGAATGACTCCCAAGCGTTTGTTCTCATTCTCAACTCATTAAAAAGACGCATCACATTTTTCATTGTAGATCTGAACGAAAACGGACACTGCCAATTTCGAATTTAATGATGGAAATTGGTGCTTTATTAATTGTCTTCGTGGTTTGTATGGTGCTTGTCGTAGCCATTAAAACAGACGTACCTGGTCTTCAAACAACAATGCTAGTATGTCGCAACTTGGCAGAGTAAAACTTTCATTGCCACACGTTTTTGTTCAGGGTATTTACATTTACGTCTATGCTATTTCAGTCGTATGGATGTTATGGTGCACTTTCGACATTATTAAATTTCGACAACAATGGATGCAGCTAACTGGATCTGCTCCCACTCAAGAAGTATATATGGGTCTTGCCGAACATCATTCAGATACGATGTTCTATTTTCCTGATGTTCATAATACTGGCGGATTGTTTATGAGAATCGGTGCTGGATGTGAGCATTGGTCAGAAATCTTGATTGGAATAATACTTTTCATTTCTAGTACTCTGTATGGGCAGTTTAATTCTGACATTAATTGAATTAGCTAAAACAATAGCAACTGTTGATGTTCATGGCATAACCCGCACTGCATTGGAACCGAAATACTATTCGTCAGTATCAATAGCAAGATCAATTGCTTACGTGTTCCGTTTTCTGTTTCATTGCGTACAGTTTTCGTTTTTATTCCGCTACGGAAATGTGAGATTCAGAGATGAAATTATTCCTTTGTTTCTATCTTCTTTCTATTCTAGTTGATTATCAATCGCTATCATGCACTCGCAAAATTCGGACTGATACATTTGGTCATTGCTAATTTTTGCTCATGGTTCGAAGGTAAGAAAAATTACTCTGTTTTGTTCGACATGAACTGAAACTTTAACTCCCAATTTCTCCGTAGCTATTGTAATTGAAACATTGGAAGAAATACATAAAAACACACCCACAAAATTAGAAGACGTCACCACGGCTTCCATCGATTTCTTTGCTACAATCATAACAAGTATTTCTGAATGGATTCTTCCAAATGGCATGAGTTTATTTTTCGTTTTTAGGCACTTCTCCTATTGATAACAATGGCAGTAATGATAGTCTGCTTTCTTTCACACGGGCCGCATCTGCTGATTCATCGGATGCAGTACCAAAAAACGGCAGTGCTCTGGCTATGATTCTAGATATTGAGGGAAAAGTCAGTGCTTATCTTTACCCATGTTTAATCGAATACAGTCTCATATCCTTAACGGTATTTTTTATCATGTGGCGAAATGTCGGTAAGACAGAAAAACGTTCTTCATTACGTTTTGGTGCTCGTCACGTTTTCACTGTGAATTGTGCACGCGCTTCACGTGGTCTACTCATTGGTGGTATTTTACTTCTACTAACGATTTTAACATTAATACCAACTTATATGTTAACTACGAATGAAGCGACAATCGTTACACATGTGACCGAGCTGGTCCTACTTGTTGTCGCATTATTTACCGTCTTGATATCTTTTATGTATACATCAAAACTCTTCTATGATCATCATGCACATGTCGATACATTTGATCAAGGTTTGATTTTGGTAACAGCCATCGGTGACTTTGCCTATTCGTTTTTCGGTTTATTCGCTGCACTTTTCTTTGACAAAAGTCAACTTGGTATATCGATTGAAATCGAAATGTCTATTGGTTTTTTAGCCATATTTCAAACACTTTTACAAACGAATTTCATCTTGGATACATTGAAACGACGAACAAGGAATAAGCAAGAGATTCGAAATAAACCAGGACGCGAAACAGTCACTGCTTTGTTATTGATGAACTTAGGTAAATCAAATCTTGATCGAAATTTTTAGTTTTTCATTTCATTTGAAATTTTCAGCTATATGGATGCACGATTCGTTATCAGCAAAAAAAGTCAGATTAAATCCATTGCAAACAGCCTTCTATGATCCTCAGACGTGGGCTATCATTCAAGCATTTACATCACCGTTATCTATCTTCTATCGATTTCACTCGAGTGTATGTCTTGCAGATATCTGGCAAGAAGTGTATCAAGACGGTGATAAAGAAGAAAAGTATCGACTAGTGAATGGCAATAATAATCATTAATATGCTTGTTCAGCTTCGATATGGATTAGTCTTCTATATAATTCTTTGCTTTTTACAAGTATGCAGTCAAAACAGAAGATTTTTTGCTGACGATTTTTGAAATCGCATGCTGTTTGTTGTGCAGTATATGAAATGAATAAACTATTTTCTATTCACTTGACGAGTCAAAGTGCAATGTAATTCAATTTCGTCTCATGTTGTTTGCCAATCTATTAATTCGATCGTGCATACAAGCATGATTTGATTTCGATATTTTGTTTTCTCTTGCCGACACGATGACTACCAGCGACATCGTCATCATGAACTGATTTGTCGTCGTCTGTAGTCAATAAAAATTGAGTTGTTTCCATTATTATAAATACACGTCCCCTTTTCTCTTTCCTCTTCGCTATTCTTTTTTTTTCTCCAGTGCATTGAAGAAAATAGCTATTTCCTAATATCAATCTTTTTCGACGTGATGTAATCGATGATTATGGCGACATCGAATAAAAAATCATCAACGTCACATGACGCTAGCACCGATACTGATGACGATATACAATATGACTCTGATTCACCGAAAGGTCAAGTCAATAATAACAATGAAATCTCGTCGACAACAAATGTGTCTTCGAAACATCGAGGGTAAGCGAAGAAATAAAAAATGAGTTCGGTTGTCAACTTTTCCTATTGTTCTCTAGAACAAAGCGACTAAACAACAAAATGAAACCATGCCTTGTACATAGAACGTCGACAAGTGATGAAGAACTACAGAATCATCTAATCGCACGAATCAATGAACAGCCACCGCCGCCGCATGGCATTCTCAAAGTGCCCAGTGGTACGATTACAAAATGATATTTATTCTTCATTTGCATTCGAAACGTTCTTCCTTTGTTCGTAGGTTCTACAAGTCCAGAACTACAAATGCCTGAAGAACCGAACAGGCCTCCTAAAATGCGTGCAAAATCCAAATCAGTTTCTCCTACACCGCCGCGTGATACATCATCTGTGATTGTTGCTGCTGCAGCTGCTGCTGCTCCTCCTGTCGCTCATCACCATCATCATTACTATCATCATCATCAATCTCGTACTCGACACAAACATGTGCAATCAACTAATGTTACCGTCGATATTCGTCAAAATGAGGACAATCGCTCGACATCCAATCGAACAGCATCGAACAAAAAAATTCAAGAACAAACCATTGTGTCATCGACGACAACCTCAGCAGCAAATTCCGACCGAGTAACGTTGGTCGTGGATGAAACAAGATTTGTTATCGATCCACAACTGTTTCGTGCACATCCGAACACAATGCTTGGAAGAATGTTTAGCTCTTCGTGGGAAACATCACTTGTTCCCAATGAACGAGGAGAATACGACGTCGCCCATGGAATATCTGCCACTATATTTCGTGCTTTATTAGTAAGTACCAGTACACGTGATGTGCATCACTTAATCGATCGTTTCTTGTAGGACTTCTATAGTATCGGAACGATACGTTGTCCACCCTCAGTTAGTATTCAAGATCTTCGTGAAGCGTGTGATTATTTTCTTATCCCATTCGATCAACTGACCATTCAGTGTCAAGATCTCTGTGGTTTACTACATGAATTGTCTAACGATGGTGCCAAAAAGCAATTTGAAATATTTCTCGAGAAAAATATTTATCCTGTCTTAGTTGAATCTGCTCAAGTAAGTCTTTTCTTAATCGATTTTGATTGAAATACCTGCTTTTTTTCTTAGCGTGGTGATCGTGAGTGTCAAATCGTGATTCTATGTGATGATGACTTAATTGAATGGGATGATGATTACCCTCCTCAGCTCGGCCAAGAAGAGGACAAAGCTCAAAGTAAGAGGAAAACAATAGACTGTTGACAACAGATGCAAATTAATCGAGAACGACCTCGATTGAAGGCTTTCTCGTATTCTGCAAATGTTAGTTATTTTTCTCATTAGGAAATTTTTGAATACAGTCGTAGTTTAACCTTGCTCGTGGCATAAACTCAATAATACATGTCGATTGATTTTCTCTAGTTATCCGTTCGACATCGATGTATCGATTTTTCAAGTACATTGAAAATCGTGAAGTGGCGAAATTGGTGCTGAAAGATCGAGGATTGAAAAAAATTCGAATGGGTATTGAAGGTTATCCGACTCATAAAGAAAAAGTTCGTTGTCGCCCACGAGCTCGACCTGAAGGTACTGAATCACTACTCTCACTTTCTCCATTCATTGCTTTTCTTTCTTTTTTTTCCATAGCTATCTATAGTTACATTCAACGACCATTTCTTCGCATGTCATGGGAAAAGGAAGAAGCCAAATCTCGTCACGTTGATTTTCAATGTGTTCGTAGTCGTTCAGTGAACAGTTTATTTGATTCAAATGATGGTAAATTGCGTACAATGGAGTAAATTTACGAACGCCGCGCTTGTTTTCTTTAGATAATTCGAATTCAAACAATGCTTTTATTTTACCATTTCTTGAAGCCGCTCAAAATCAAGTAATTCCACCGCCACCATCGTCTCGAGAACTTTTTCCTGCTCTCCCACCATTTCCTTCCTCTGGACTTACTGGTGATCCATCTCATACTGATTGAACATTCGTTGACGAGAGAGAATGTTGTGTGATTTCTTTTCGTTCTATTTTATGTATCAAAGCATGATAATGAGACAAAAACGAAAAACTTGTCGTTGTTCGTTGAACATATTTATATATATATACATGTCTTTTTCTTTTCTCTTCTGTATGGTGTAAATAGTAGGAGAAGATTTATTTAGTTTTTAACATATTCATCCCTTTCTCTCTATCATATGAACAAGATTGTTTGTATCAATAAAAAAAATATTGGACTCGATCTAATGAAAGTGCATAGGACATGTAATGAATGTATCTGAAAGTCAACAACGTTTATATAATTATTCAAATGCATGTGAAATTGAGTGAAACAGAGAGTAAGCACTTACCTGGAAAAATTCCTGTTCAAAAACAAATAGTTGAGCAGATTCTTCATTTCCTGCTGTTTCATCATGCATAAGTATGTATTCATCATGTTTAGAATCTCTGACTTGACCGTCTCGAAATCATTCTTTTGGTACAATGAAAAAGCGAGCATAATAATAGAATTCGTCCATCTGTTCATAAAGCAGTTTTTCGAAAGAAGAGTAAAAATACGGTGAAATTTTTCATACACTTGTTTGTATCATCAGTATCTTGGTCAAACAGGAACTTTGAGGCTAAGTCTGATTGAATGAGCTATTTCCCATGAATTTCTATACGTGTTCTCAAACACGTTTTTGTAATAAAGACAACTGTCGGGTAGATTTCGAGGCTTCCACGTTTTACAAAGAATAAAACCAATTTCATAGCTTTTGTTCTTTCCATTATTTGAGCTCAAACGAATATCACCGTTGTCTATTAATGAGAGAGTACTTATCATCAAGCAGATCAAACTTTTTTCTCATCGTACTTAGATTCGATCTCCAATAACTAATGGCCACTCTCAATTATATTTACCAACAGTTTCGGGATCTAAGCGTGAATATTGTTCAACTTATCAGCGATTTCTTCTTCGCGTTCTGTACCATCGAATTTTTTCGTACCCGCTAGTAAATGATGACGATCTATTGCCAAATGTCAATAGGTGCTAAGATTTTGTTCAATTAAATCAATTGTATTTTTAACCTTAAAAAGATATTACTTTTGATAATATGTGAAACATTTTTCTTACCATTGGTGGATCTTGTGACATGTGTCGAACGAAACGAAAGTTCATGAATATAACAAAGTTCAAGCAAGAAAGAATATGTTTATTCGATTGAAGAAAATATTCTTCTGCTCTCCTCGATGTACGTCCAGGGTTAGTTATGAACAAGAAAATGGAATGCACGAACAGTTGCTTAACGCCAACATCATTATAGCATACAAATTTCTATTGATTCTCACAAAATATCTTTATGAATGATGACCAAAGCTTTCTCAGATGTCTCTGAGCTATAAGAGAAAACTTAGGAGTTGACATAATTCTCAATAGGCTAATTTTAATCAGAACTAATGGATCAATATCTCAGTGCTTACATGAAACCACTTCATCGCAATAAACTCCTAGGAGTATCAATTCGATTTTTTTAATGATCACAAACAAAAGATACCAGACTATTCACTCGCTCATAAATAAACACACAAACTATTCTCAAAGTTCGAGATCGAAGAGTGTATTTCAACCTCCTCTGCCCAAAAAGGACCTCATGCATCGTCAATCATCTCATGAAGTTCGACGATCACATTCGCTCTGTGAGATGAATACATAACTTATACAATTATATTCTGAATGATTTGTCTTTTTCGATTAAAACTTGTGCATTCATTTGTGGAGCGAACAGACGACGAGTAAAAATTAAAAAAAGAAAAAAGCGTTGATCCCTTTCGTCCAACTATTTATATTTTTGTCTCAAACGGTTCGTTCTCTCTTACTCATACTCAAACATACTCAAAAAGTACATTTGCTTTCCTTTCATCTGAAGTCATCCAAATTTTCTACTTCAAACAACAAAATGTCGCAGTTACAAATCATACAGTATCATGAACATGTCTCTAGCTTTTTCCTCTTTCAGACATGCGTAAAATCCATTGGCGCCGAGCTCCTCGATCATCTTTGGCTATTTCCATCGCTCTGATATGCTTCGTCACCTTCACGATCGCGTTTCACATGAGACAAGAAAGTATGATCTCATTCATCTATCATTCATCACCCGATTGTGATCAATCGAACAGCAACGCTTCAGCTCAGTTATCAACCATTCCACCATACTATTTGTTGGTTCCATATCACGAGTTTACAATGCGAACATCGATCTCATGTCGATCATATAAACTCGCTGAACCGAAAAAGGATCTTTCGAAGTTCCATCCTCGACATTCTCAACACCTTCGAGGATCGTTTGTATTAGTCACTCCACATTCTAATATCACCTTCGATGATATCGACAATTTCTATCAAAAGACTCTTCCTATGAACACTAACAACAAAACAAAACCTCTGCAAACACCATTCACTACGAATGTGACATTTGAGAACATCCCCTATGAATACAAAAACGGACTGTGGCATCCTGTCGGAGTGATCTCAGCTCAACGAACTGCCATACTGATTCCATTACAAGGACGCGACTTCAATGCCAAGGCATTCATCTTCAACATCCACGCATTCGCTCGGCGACAGCTTCTCACATACACAGTTCTCCTCGCCGAACAGGTTTGTGTTTGTCGGTGTGATTGCAAAGCACATGTTTACCATTAGTTGACAAGAAATACATGCACTTGATAGATTTCATGGTAGTAGTCGTATTTGTATACATTGAGTCAATTCCGAATGAATAACCTGTGTTTTTTTTTTCACTTTTGCGTTTCTCGTCTAGATACATCCACGAAGTGACCGATTCAACAAGGGTCGTTTACTCAATGCTGGTGTTCGCTATATCGAAAATCAGAGATCGTTGAACATCACCTGTCTCATTTTACATGATGTGGACTTGATTCCAGAGAATGATGGCAACTACTATGTCTGTGAGCCTACTCATCCAAAGCACACAACTGTACGTGTTCGTCAAATCGGTAGCAAGCGTGGCTATTCACGTTACTACGAGTTTTTGATTGGTGGAGTGTTGTTGTTAACACCAGACATGTACCGACAGGTGAATGGATTTTCGAACTTGTACTGGGGTTGGGGTGGTGAAGATGATGATCTATCGCTAAGAATGATCCAACGACGTGTGTGTGTCGTACGACCTGTCGATGCTGTTACTGTGTATGCTGGTAAGTAGAGAATGTTAGTTGATCATTTTTGTTTAGTTGTGTATGATTTAGCTCTTCCTCATCCACATGGTCATCGGAATGATGCTCGTTTCAACCTGTTAGCATGGTCAACTGTTCGAATGGATGGTGATGGGTATAAGCAGATCGATTCGCTGGTAGAGATTGTTGATGTGAAACAACAATCGAGTGTGATTCATTTAAAAGTGAATGTTGATGTCGAAGGAAGTGAACGTCGACCGTCTTCGTTGAATGAAAGTGATGAAAGGATATCTGCAGGAAGTGAAGCAAGTACAGCATCTCGGAACGGCACGTAACTCGTTCTATGTCAGATATCAATGTGCGAAGGCTCCTGTTCCTTTTTAATAAGGAACTTTCTATGTACCACATAGGAAGGTATTTTTTTATAATAAGGTGTATGTTCCTTTGTAAAATCTCTGTATATTAATTGTTGTACAAAGTTATATGCGTTCCATTGTGCGCCAGTCTTCTTTTGTCAAAAAACAAGGCATTTATGGATCATTGGCTCGATACCTTTTCGCAAAATCGGAATCTTTAAATGTATGAAAATTGGGTTGGCATTAGACTTTCATAGTTGCTGATTTTTTAAATCTATTCAATCTTCCACAAGGTGTCAGAGGAAAAAACCTATGGTACACAATCTTATACATTTCAAAGTCGAATGTCTGAAATTTGAGTGTTTAATAATACATATTTCAAGAACGAAGAAACAATTCTGTGGAAAAAGGTCATTCTTATACCCGACAGCAAAAAAATCATCAAACGCGAGCAAGTTTTGATACATAGTTAACCCTTTCCGGCCGGCTACCAGAAAACAGCAAGCAAAAGATTTTCTTTATATATATTCTTGTTACTTTAGTTATGAGGATCAATTTTTCAGCCCCGAATTTTTGGAGAATCCTGTACCCCCCTACGGCAAAATTGTATCCATATGGATACACCCGGCTGGAAAGGGTTAAAACCCCTGAGTTCATTTTCTTCTAATTCGAAGCCCAGTCGTAAAATTGCATTAACGATAGTTTCGACTATTTTTTTCACCGTCTTACATGCTAATAGTTGATTACGAATCACCGCTAATTATCGATAGTCGTTTAGGTTCTGCTGAATTAAGTAGATTGCATCTTTTACCTTAAAAAAAGATGTCACTTTGATAATTCATTAGACATTTTCCTTTTCATCGGTCAATGCTGTGTTGTGTTTCTTCAGGCATGTGTCGAATGAAAGTTCATGAATATGGTAACGTTCAAAAGAAGGAAGAAAATGTTCTCAATTTTTAGAAATGATTGATTGGCAACATTGTTGCCACGACTTTGATAGCTGATGAAAACTAAGTGGCTTATATCTAAGCGTTAAAATCCAAGCTATCGCTCATGGTATGACTGTCTTTTCACATTCAATTGTGCATACTGATTTTCTACAATACATCGAGAAACCTTTCTCCGACGATTTCGACAAAAAAAACCTTGTCTGTCATACTCTTTGTCTACGAATCCTTGTGGATAGTGGGCAAAATCATAAGAAATTAAAACTAGGCATTACTTGCTGCGAGTGTGAGGTATAGAGCCCGTCGAGTTCAAGAATTTTGGATCCAAATCCGAACTTTAATTATGCTCAAATTTAGAATACATCTATTAAAATATGGCTCAAACAATTCTATTAAGCATACTCGTATACGTGGAATCGATAGTATTTACAGTTCTTTGTACCACTGATTAGGAAGAAAGAGAAAATAATATTGGCATTTCTGCACAATAATAAACACTTTTATGATCGGTATCTAGACTTATTTCGTAATTTATTTAATCTTAAAAGCAAATAATAAAAGTTAATAGTTGAATATAATAATTCGTTCGAGAAACTTCCATTGCCATCCATATACCGATATGTTTCATTTCGATGTAGAAAGAAAAAGAAAAAAAAATCAAGTATTTTGTTTATGTTATCGCTATGTATTTATGAAGACGTCTCTAGAATACATATCAAAGAAAGCGATTGATTACTACCACTCACAAACAACACAAGAAGTTGCTAAAAACATCGTCGGAATATTTTTCTCTCTCGTTCTCTCAATGTTTCTAGAAGATAAATAGAGCGAGAATAACACATGAGACTCTTCTTTGTCGAAAACATGACTCCGAGATATACGGTTTTCTTCATTATCTTGTTCTCTTCTGGTTGCATTGAATTAATCAATAGCTGTAGTTGTGCCAGTGATATTACATTGGAAAAAAGTTTTGCTGCTGCAACACACGTCTTTACTGGTAAAGCTATTCGAACAAAACCCGGATCGACCAAGGATGATTATCAAATAACATTTGAAGTGGACAAATTATTCAAAGGTTCAGTACCACCGAACGGCCATATTATTGTATCGACACCATATGAATCAGCAGCTTGTGGTGTGCCTATTAGCGCAGGACAAAACTGGCAAGTTTGGACAACAGGAACAGATGGTAGTTTGAAAGTATTAGCCTGTGGTCGCTCTACAAGTGAAACAACACGAGATATGAATTTTCTTAATCAACATTATATCCCTCGATCTGCTGCGAATCTTCATAGTTCATCAACATATCGATGTCAATATTCATTGATTATTACGATTGTGTCATCCTTTGTCTTTCTTGAATATCGTTTATTCTCTTTCAATAGATAGCAAATTGTATGATCATTTCTTCTGCTTATAGAACTCATATTTGTGCATAACGGACCAATCTGTCAGCACTTTTGTCAAACCAGGCGAAAACTCGGCTTTTTTCCTTTCTTAGTATTGTTATTTTTGGCATACACATATACATTTTTCTTTCTGTCGTTCCTTTCATCACTTATCCGTTGCCCGCTTATATTTTTCTTTATATATGTATTTGACTTTTTCCTCTTCTCTACGAAGATATATTGACGACAAAACTAACTCACAGAATGCAAGAAATCGAGATGCGCATACAGTTCTAAAAAAAAGGATACCTCCCAAATTTCTTTAACTCATAGAGACTATATTGCATTTAAAGACAATGTCGGACTCAATTCGCAAGTCTTCTTCTGCCGGTTCTCTGATAAAAGTATATGTTATACTTTATTAAATTTGAATGGATTTTCTGAATTCATCATCACTTTCTCTAATAGTCTGTATTTTCCGGCGGGATGTCAGATAAAACGAATAAAACACGTACATCGATCCTTTTTTCGACGGTATAAACCATTCATTTGAGAGCAAAGAAATGGCAACAAGTATAGTGACGGGTGAATGTTTACGCGGTGAAATTTCTGTTATTCTTCTAGGAAATTTGTTGAGTAACAACCAGTAGCTCAACAACGAAACATATCTTTTGTCGAATTGATCATGTTGAGATCAGATAGTATTGATCAATTATCAACGCCCGTTATAGATATATTTTGTAGAAATTGTCTATAATGACGCCTACTATCCGAAAATTATATAATCATGAATGATTTCAGTTGCAAAGAAAGAAGTGCCGATACATTATAGTTTAATATCGATTTCATAGAATACAGTTAGTATTGTTACGGGATATAAAGAGTACGATTGCCGAGATCTTATTCATTCCAATAACATTAGATTATTAGCAACAAGGATGTCAGTTCTTATTCTTTATTTCTTTCTAACGGGTGTCACAAAATGAATGAACCGCTCAGCATTTTGCATCTTTCTTCCTTATTTTCCCTCATAGAAAAAGAAATTCTTTATTAAAAGATTCCTCGTGAAATTCGCTACAAAATCATTATTGATCTTACATTTATAGAATGTGAGAAAAAAAACATTAAGTGGACAATACTGCGAACATAAAATGTGCCTCATTTTCAAAAGGAGAAAACGTCATGTCAGTGACTAATTTCATATATGTTCTGTTTTAATCATCGAGCATATATAATTTCAATAGCACTACAGTATACAATGCAGCGTGAAAAGATCTATAAGATGCATTATTAAATAACCTCTGAACATCAATTATCTTCAGCATTCGTGGAACCATTTCAGTCTTAATGAGAATCGTAATGATTATGTTTTTGTTTTCTAATTTGAATTGTGCAATACATACGTTCTTGGTCGTGGTAGATTCGGTTTAGTTTTTCAAACAATTAATAAGTTGGATCGACGATGTGTAGTGATAAAAAGAGTATCATTGAAGAAGTAAGATTTTCCTATTGAGATACACAATACAAACATGTGCTCGTAGATCACCGAGTAAAGAACGAGTTGTAATATAGATCCGTTGTATGGCTGGCGCTGTCGAATCAACTAAATCTAGTCTAGTGCATGGAATGAATATCCATCTGATGGATGATAAGATGTAGTTGATATAGAACCTGAGACGGAACAGTAATGTCTTTTTCTCTATCCGATCAATTTTATTCATCGTGTCTTTTAATAATGGATCAGCTGTTCCATCAATAACTGATTTCATAGTTGAACATTCCTTGAATTCATCACACATCTCCATCCTCTTTCAAAGTATTCTTTTCAATGTCAGAAAGATTGGCTTCTTCATGCTATGCTTTATTTATGATTAATTACAAGAAAAACATGATTGATATGTACATGTGTACTTTTAAGAGTCTTCCGAATTGTTTCAAGAGCATCCTCCGACCTAAATAAATCACATCCATGAGCATACATTTCTAGTAAATAATTCACTTACTTGTTCTTGATAAACTTCGATTGTGTCATTGTCTTCCATTTCGAGTTGTTTAGGCGTTTCGTCATCATTGATACGTTTACCATCGAAAAGAAATCTTTCATGTAAATGAAGATTAATAACAATTCATTGAATTTCAGTTCTATTTACCTTAACGTTGCTACACCGACGCCTAAACGAAAAAGCTCCGTAACACATGAGCAATGCAAACTGAAATACTTTACCTTGTCTTTCAGCATACGACTTTTTCAATTTACCCATACCGGTCGTCATTTTGACTTTGAAATGAACTTCACCTACAATAGAAGATTCAGCCGCATGGTTGAGAACAATACATGTGTAGAATATATACTATTGTCTTGCCCAACTACGCGGAGTTTAATGTATTCGTCAGTTTTATTTTCAGTCGTCATGATTGCCTCGTAGTACAAATAATAATCTGAAGCAGATGTAAGCTATCTAATGTAAACTGAATCAACATGAAATTCAGCTAATGCTTCTTTTCGTTCAATACAATATCATTTCATTTCGTCACAAAGTACCTAAGTCTGAACTGTCCATACTTTACTATGGATCTAGAGTTTGTCGTCTGTCATAAAACTCTGTGAAAAATTGTTGGAATTTCTTCTGAATTAAAGTAAAGTCATCGAGAGAGCATATGCATGAGATTTCTGCGTAAATAGATGTCGCTAATTTTCAAAAGTCGAAAATGAATTTTCCGTTATTTCCTATTTTTCTCATTTCAGAAAAATCATTTTGACTGATTTTTCCTCCATGTTCATCTCTCAATAGAGGTCTCACATAAAGGTTTAACAATGGAATCAATATGGTAGCATCGTATACAATACATGCTTGTACTCCTGTCTTTCTTTTTCTTTCAATTCAGAACAAGAAACTATGCGACGTTCAATTGAATCTGATTTTGAAGACGAAAATGAAATTTGTTACACGTCCAAACGTCGAGCTCATCCTATAGTTCAACATTATGATGAGGATTCACTTCCATCATCATCTTGGACAAATAATCCGAATGAAAATGATGTTGACGACGATCAACGCAGTTCCTCGATTGACTATTATGACAATGCAGAAGACATGGACGATGAAATCTTCGATTTACCAGCTAGCTCCAATGATCTGCCAGTTGCACCTCAACAAGCATTATATTTAGCAACAATCTATGAATTCCTACGTCATTTCTCGCCTATCTTACGTCTTTCACCATTTTTATTCGAACATTTCTGTACATCTATGCTTCAATCAATTGATCTCAATAATGTTCTTTTCTCACAAATTCACATATGTTTACTTCGTTTACTAATCAAACAGGATGACGATGACGGCATTACCTACGCGTCCGAAACAGACATCAAGGGTATCATTGATCTTTCATTTGTCACTATGGACTATATTACGTGGCCGTATATTTTACAATTATATATGACATCGCATCCGCAGTTGAAAATGTTCGCAGCCGTTATTAAAGAATACCCATTTAACACAAGTATTGAAGATAAAATTGATGTGCTTTTAGCTTTGTGCAATGTGGCATTAACTACCAAGACCATACGAAGAGAATTCGATGACACCAAACCAAAACAACACGATGATAATTGCCGACAGTGCCAAAAGTATGTGATAGAGACCTTTCTATTTATCCATCGTATATGTTCGCTTTCGATTTCAGGCGAGGTGATTTACTTTGTTGTGATCGTTGTGAGGCTACTTATCATCTCGGTTGTTTAAATCCACCTTTGACATGTGTACCGACGGTTGAATGGTTCTGTCCAGTATGCGAACAGAATCAAGTAGATGGCGTGACAAATTGTGTTCCGCCGCGAGAAACTCGACCATTCTATCTGCGTCATCGATGTATCGGACACGATCGTGAACAGCGCAGATATTGGTTTGTTTGTCGTCGTTTATTTGTGTAAGTACTTTTCGAACAAGGAAATGGAATCGCTAGAATGTCCTTGTTATAGAGAAGATGAAACTGGTGAGGATGTACGATATTACTCAACGCTCGATCAATTTGATGCACTATTATCATGTCTTGATGAGAGAGGTCCCGAAAAATTATTAGTTTATCGTTTACAAAAACGCTACAATGATGTAGCACGCTGTATGCAAATCACAGCTGATCTCCAGACTTGTAAGTTTAAGTTTGAAGTTCTAAAGATTTATCGTTTCGTAAAAAAATTTTAGTATCGACGCCACTGGATAGATCACCTGCGATGAAAGCTGTAGCTGAAGTACATGATGATGAACAGAGATCATCATCGATGTTTCTAGACGGTTCAATACCTTGTTATTTCGAAGATGGATCACCAAAATCAGTGGATTATGAATGTCTACTCGATAGAATTAAGTTACGAATCAACTCTAAAGAACATCGAATGGTTATGATTGGTCAGATAGACGGTATCGTTGATAATGATGACGATAGAAAAGAAAAAGATGTTAAATCAGTTGTAAAAAAGAAAGAATTCTTTGTTCATTCAAGTAACAATTATGACTATTCGTCAGTAAGTATCGACGATGATTTTGAGAAAATGATAAGCCATGAATCTCATTATCGTAGGGAATCAATGGACAAAATCACTATGGGAATGATCTCTCGAAATCGAATGGTAAAGACCGATGATCATACGAATGTAAAGCTAAACTTGATCTTTTAGATTTACTTCCAATGAAACGATTCTCTTTATCAAATAAAGCTTTGTTGGAAGAACGATTACGACATGCGCATAGTATGTATCGATTCATTTAAATTTAGATTTCTCTGGATGGACTCTTTTCAGATATTCATGGGGAAACAAAAGTCACACTTCGTCGTCTGACTGCGGATGACATTGAAGAGACAATTTGGCAACGTTATGAACAGTACCAGAATATGAGCAAATACCCTTCGCATAATCGAGGTCACGCTTATTCAAATAATAATAACAACCGTGCACATCCTACAAATAGTGCTTCATATCCGCGAAGCAATTACTATCGTGATTATTATACCGGTAATAATTATGAAGATGAAGATGGCATGCTACTTGATAATGAATATGATGACTTTGGTGATGATTTCTTCCAGCAAGAAGAGAATGTCGATGAATTCGATATGCCCTTTCGAAAATACGGTACTTTTTGCATAAGCTCATGTTACTTTTAGCAAATCCATTTGTTTGTCTTGATAGAAAGCAGTCGAGTCTACCGAGGAACCAGTCGTGGTCGTCCACGTGGAAGAGGACGGCCTCCATTGTACGGCGGACGAGTCGGACGTGGCTCTCATTTCGGACATCCACCACGTGGTGTCAATCATCTAACAACCGGTTCATTTCAATCTAGTCAACGTTTAATTCAGCCCAAGCCTGAATCTCCTAAACCAAATGAACAGCAAGCACCGGCGAGAAATAAACGCAAACCAGCAAAAATCAAACCAGTAACAGTGTCAGCACAGGAAGAGAAGCCACGACGACCAGGAAAAGTTCTCCGCAGTGGAAGAATATCAAGAAAACCGAGACGAGATTCGGAAACGGATTTCGGCTCGGACAATTCTGATGATAGCGGAGCTAAAGATAAAGAAACCGGCTCTGACGACGACGAAGAATTTGACTTAACGCAACTCGGTAAATGCTGCCTATGGACTAAGTTCATTATAAACCAATTTCTTTCATGTAGGTCTTGGATTTGGTAATACTTCGAATGTCGCGATCAAAATCGCACGTGATGGTTCAGCCTCATCGAATGAATCCTTAGCAGGCACTAATCTTCCTCTGACGAATTTTGCAGCTTTTGCACAAAGTCAACTATTAGCAGCTAATCTAGCAGATGGTTTGATGGAAGATAATGACGATGCCAGTAACGCTTCAGATTTTAGTGCTGAAACTTTTGAAAGTGATGAATCGGATGATATTCTCAGCGGAAAAGACAAGGCTAGTGATGAAAATCTTGAAGACGAAGAGTTGGATGATTTTACATACAGTCAAACAATGATATCGCTAATCAAGAGTATGCAACCGAATCATGTGAAAATCGACTTAGACCTTCCCACGCAAAGCAAACAGAGTGACAGTAATAAAGGTGAGAATTCCTCAGTGTAACATTCAATGGAAATAATTAATTACTGATGTATGTTTGGTTTAAGATGAACATTCTCTTTCCGACGGTCATCTTTATTATGAAAACTACTATCAGACGAATCCTTTGGCAACAAGAAAACAAATGCTGTTGAGCGAACGTGATCGTCGTGCTCATCTCGCTCGTAAGTTCAGTATCAATCAAACACCATCGTTCGCTTGGTATTCTCCATCATCTTCAATCAAACCAAACTATATCTTGAAGAATCTCTCTGATATTCTCCGTCTAACATTGGTCTACTTCGAAAACACAATTCCATTGCCCTTCATGCATTCGCATTGGAAACGCTACCGTTACATATGGGCGAAACAACTACTTGATCTGGATGCTAATGTCTCACAATCGGAATTGATTCGCCTCTTATTACAGTTCGAAGCTTGTATCAAGCCTGTTTCTTATTTTGATTTGTTTACTGATCAAGTTGGTTATATAAAATTTCGTCGTGAGACTGAAAAGGAACGTGATGAAGCGAAAAAAGAAGAAAAAGATGCGTTTATCCGACGCAAAATCGATGCTGATTCCATCGTTCAGAATGTCCATTTTACTCGTCCACTAAAGCACAGTATTCATAAGCAACGAGGTGAAGAATATCGGCTAGCTGGTGGACAGGGATGGACTTTTGTTCGTTCTACTCGACGTTCGTCTATTCCGAAGATGAAAACTAGCGTTGATATTAATTCATTGTTGACACGGCGAGAAAATATGTCTAATGTGATTGTCAATGAACGTAACCGAATTATTGGTTTACTCGAAACAAAACTGAAAGCTGATTTGGATGCTAATAGTGATGTCGAAAAAGAGCTGGCTAATTTGTTATCAACCGCCAAAGATGACAACGATGATTTTATTGACGATTTAGCTTTTATCAATTACAAAATTATTGATTATCAAGGCAGTTCATATCGCTATCCAATTATGTCCGAAGACACACGTCGACCGTTCCATTTGACTGCGACATCGAATGAGAAAAAATCGATCTCGAATCCATTTCGATTACCATTACCATGGACATTCTCATTTGATGCAAACATTTCGCCCAATATATTCATTCTTCCAGCTTATATTCTTCGTCGATTAGCACGAGCATCAATGACATTAACGGATGCACCCGGCTTCATTAATTCACGTTTGAGCGGCATCGGAACGAGATTTGGTTGGCCTTATCCATGTGGACGACCATCCGTACGAACAGCATGGTGTTATAAAGTTCAAACTAGTACTTCGTTCTTTGCAATTGCTCATCATATGAAATATTTATGGAACTGTATCAGGTTAGTTTCGAGAACGTTCTTTCTAGCACAGGCACGAATTATTCTTTGTATTATTTAGATGGGATCTATTAACGGAAAAGCTTTCTAGTATTGATGAATCATCCATCACTACTCATGTCGACAACGATGGCATGATGACGACTATACAAGTCTTGGCTAAGCGCGATTCAGGTCCATACGATTCTTACTGCGAGTATTTTGTTCGAAAGACAATTCATTCCCAATCGAGCGATTCGTCGAATTTTAATATTCCAATATCGAAATCACGCAGTCGCGCTGTTCCACATCCATCTTCGATGCTAGCGCCAAATCGTTTAATACTCACTGAACAATGGTTACCCGAACGGCAACTTCAACCGAATCAAATCAAATACTATTATCACAGTTTACTTGAAAAATCTCTCAAACGATTACATAAGAAAGCCAATGGTGAAAAACCTAAGACAAGAAAGAAATCGCCTATTGTTAACCCTCCTGTGCAGCAAACAGCGAAACCTTTCATCGTTCGTATACCACATTTACAGCCGAAATCGACACTGAACACTGAAAGTGGAAAAGTTGTTATTGTCAAAGCTACAGGAGAATCATCCTCATCTCCGTCAACAACAGCACAACCAACAGTAGCAACAAATAATCCAGTGCAACAAAAATCGTTTTCGGTGGTTAAGTTAGCTGATGGTCAAATTATTCTTGTTCCGACTACGGCTGTCCAGCAGAATGAAAATTCCGCAATAAAGATTGCTAGACCGCCTTCGCCACCCAGATCAAATCCACAAGCGGCATCGGTTAGCCCACAAGAACGTCGATTACGGGCTATTGCACCTTCTCCCATTACATCAATTCAAACATCGAATGAACTGCTCAATAGTCTTATCTCTCAACAACAGCAACAGCTTCTTCTACAACCACAATTAGAACTGAACTCACGTTCGGAACCAACTCAATCAACAGTTGTTCCTGAACCGGTGGCACCCGACACAAATATTCCAATAGTTAAACCTACACCAGTTGTTTCACAGAAAACAAAAAGTAGTCGTAAGACAACTCCTATACCATCGACATTAGAAGATAGAAGGTTAAGACTCGACCCTGAAGAGGGTGTTAGGTAGGTTGTTCTACTTTCTCTTTTCTTCTAAACTAGTAATGCTATCTCTCTACATAGGTTGAGAATATGTGAGGCTATTCTTCGTTCTCTTGTAAGTCGAATCGAACGTGAACAAAATCAAGAATCAATGAAGAAACGTTCTAAAAATCAAAATCTTATTGCTCAACCAAAAACAAACCATCGGCAAATAGCTTTAACTCGTCTATTGAATGAACGCGTGGATAATCTTCGACAGGAATTTATCGGCCATCGATTGAATAAGAAATCAGCTCTAGTAAAAGAACAGGTACAAAGTCAGCGCCTCAAACAGCAACAAATAATCTTGAAACAACAGCAGCAGAAGCAGCAGCAGCAATCACCAGTAACGAAAGTCACAGAAAAAAATTCGAGTTCAGACGAAGAAGTAAAACCTTCATCGCCAATTCCAGCAAAAAAATCAAGAAAAAGTGTAGAAAACGAAACGAAAAAGAAGCAACAAGAGACGAAAACAAAAGTGTAAATGAATTACGAAACAGAGATTCTTGGGGGACTATATTTCCTTTCGCTTATTTAGTTCCACATCACCTAAACGAACTCGTCCTTTACCATTAGTGAAAACTGATGATTCCGATCAAAAGCAAGCCCCGCCAGCGAAAAAAGCTCGTGGCTCTCGTCCAAGAACTCCCGCAACTGAACCTCAGGAAGTATCGGACAATGATGAAAATCTTCTCAAAAATCGTAAGTCTTCTTCCTCTTCTTCGACCAATGTTGCCAAAATGAAATCAACTGAAATACCCAAGAAAATCATTACAGTTAAAAATTCGTCGAATAAAAAAGGGAAGACTGAAGTCAGTCTTTCTGACGTCAACTGTATCTGCCAGAAAACTGACGTTCCTGAGAAATTCTTCATTCAATGTGAAACATGTTCGCGTTGGTTACATGGTTCATGTGTTGGATTAACACCGCGTCTTGCTGAGAAAATGAAAGAGTTTATTTGTAATGATTGTAAATCTTTAACAGAAAAGACCAAAGAACGTTTGTATTGTGTTTGTCAAAAGCCATACGATGAATCCGAGTAAGAGCAGTTTACAGTTGCACTATTGAATTGAATGTGATCTTTTTTGTTTGTTCTGTTCAACTAGATTCTATATCGGCTGTGATGTTTGTGCTGATTGGTTACACGGCGCCTGTGTGAAGATTACACCGGAGCAAGCGGAAAAATTCGAAGTTTATGTCTGCCCAAGATGTTCGACGAAGAAAAAACAAGAATTCATCAACAAGTCAATCAATGCTGACACAAAAAAAGATCTTCTTCACCTGACTGATCAACTTTTGGCGCACAAAATGGCATGGCCATTCCAAAAACCAGTTGATATCAACGATGTACCAAATTATCTAACGATCATCAAAGATCCTATGGGTAAGTCTTAGCTTTGCTTGAATCTAATTCTGAAGATCGATTTTCTATGCTTGTGCAGATTTAACAACATTGAAAAGCAAGGTGATGAATAGTAAACTCAAAACAATATGTGATTATATTCGTGATGTGAATAAAATCTTCAACAATTGCCGATTATTCAATCCAATCAATTCAACATTGTCTCTTTGTGCTAATGTTGTGGATAATTATTTTCGTCAACTATTAGAAAATATGATGACTAAAGACGATAAATAACAATATTCTCTCTATCTTCTACTCGTGTTTAATATACTCTAGTTCTGTATGTGCGTGTTCAATATATATGTATCTGTGTATTGTTTGTTATTCTTCGCATTTTCAGCGAAAATTTATATAGAATGTGTTCCTGTCTTGTTATATTTTTGTATATCGGACTCAAACGAAAACAAAGATATCTTCTGTACTTGTCTGATTATTTTTTTGTGTTGATCTCAGAAAAAAGCACGTATCTCTATTCTTCCTTATATAAAATATACATATCCATAACCAATAACTCATAAGTTGATCGATTCATCCAATAAATTTCCAGTTTCTATTGCCATCTGTCGAAAAACGGTCAGATATTTCATTGGTTTTCTTGGTTGATACTTGTAGTGTTGTTTCGTACGCTTTGTTTTATTTGTCATCACCTTGCACAAAAACGACCTTTTTTTCAAAGATATTCTCTGCCACGACATCATTTTTCTCAATCGACAGTAAAATGTCTTCCGCAGTCACATCTGATGTATCCGATATTCGTCAACGCCATGTAGAACGTGACATAACTACAAATGCTACTCGACTAAGTCAGAGTGAAAATGCTAAAGCGGCAGCAGCAAGTATCACGACTCCGATTGCAGCAGTACCGACTACTGATGACGATATGGAACCTTTACCATCACATCCAACTGGTGCACATATGTTTGAAGAGACAAGTTCTACACCAAACTTTATGCAATATTTTGAAAACATTCTCAGTGGTTTCAATCCTCGTTGGCGTAATTGGATCATTCGCGGTATATTTTCATTCATCATGATTTTTGGATTTGCTAAGTTAGTATCGATGGGTCCGTTAGTTGTCTCGGTGGTTATTCTTCTCATTCAAATCAAATGCTTTCAAGAAATTATCAACATCGGCTATGTTGTTTATAAATCACACAATCTACCATGGTTTCGAACATTATCCTGGTTTTTCTTATTTACGTCAAATTACTGGCTGTATGGAGAGAGTTTAATTCATCATTTTGGTTCATTACTAAATCGAAATAATTTTCTCCAACCGTTAGTTACATATCACCGAATGATTGCTTTTCTCCTCTATACAAGCGGATTCGTTGGATTTGTCTTAAGTTTAAAGAAAACCTATTATCTAAAACAATTTACTCTATTTGGATATACACATATCACGTTGATGATTCTGGTGACGTCAAGTCATCAAATGATAGAAAACATTTGCGAGGGTATGTTAACAATTCATCATAAGATAGAATTTTTCATATATGAGTCATTGTCATTTGTCACGTTGGCAGTTTTTTGATGAAGTGACCTGACCTGAACAGTAACATAATATTCAACGTGGCATATATCCGATGAGTCATTCAAAGTGACAAGTCGATGTAGTTTAATTGTGAAATTACACAATTGATCTCTGAAAGAGCTGACTTTGTAAATCATTGTACAAAGGTTGAATCGATTTACCATCTAGTTCTTCAATTCCGAAGAAAAGATTAGACATCAATGACTGTCGACAACAGTTACAACCTTTCTCAACACTCAGTTTCGCAAAAAATAGGAGACGTGAGAACAATGTGATGAATTAGAAAACTAATGACATATTGAAAATACTTAAGCGGATTATTAAACATAATTTAGGTATGATATGGTTTCTATTTCCTGTGTCGTTAATTATCTGCAATGATATAATGGCTTATATGTTTGGTTTTTTCTATGGTCGAACACCATTAACAAAATTATCACCAAAGAAGACTTGGGAGGGCTTTATTGGTGGTGGTGTATCAACGTTGATTTTCGGTTTTGTTTTAGCGGGCGTTCTCAGTCGCTACCAATTTTTCGTTTGCCCATTAGAATACAATGACGAACTGATGAGTCTGTCAACATCCTGCACACCATTGCCACTGTTTCAAAAAACAATATATATGATGCCGAAGCCACTCTCATTTCTAAAACGTTCATTAGTTTTATATCCATTTCAATTGCATTCACTGTTGCTTTCGTTATTTGCTTCGAGCATTGGACCGTTTGGCGGTTTTTTTGCCAGTGGATTTAAACGAGCATTTCGAATCAAAGACTTTGCTGCTACCATACCCGGCCACGGTGGGTTTATGGTAAGACATAGTAGTTCTTGTTGTTCAATTTCATTAACATAATCGTGTCTTCTCTCTGCAGGATCGATTTGATTGTCAAGTTATAATGGCAATGTTCACAAATGTGTATATCTCAACATTTGCACGTGTTGCATCGCCGCATAAACTACTTCTCCAAGTATTAGCTCTCTCGCACGAAAATCGCGAAGAATTCCTTCGTTTGCTTCGTAATCATTTCAAAGAATAATACATGGGCAAGAAGAAGAAAAACAAGATACCTAAGGCGATTTCTTTTTCGAAACAATGCGGTGACTCATTTGCTTTTCTTTTTCTTGTACATAATGACCAATTGAGATTGTGTGAATGTTTCATTTGACCTTCGAACGTATGTATTTGCTTTTGTCATTATTTAATATCACAACATGAACTAAATTTCACCAGTAAATACTTTCTCGCAGTACCATGTCTGATGTCATTTATTTATATAACGAGTAAACAAAGAAATACATGAGACGCATACAAAACGATGAAACAGTATAGACGATTTGTTTGCACAGTATATAATCAAATGGATTCAACTCATTCTTATGAATATTGCAAGAGGAAATTTAATAATGTTCACGGTCATATTGGTATAATAGTAGATATATACAGATACTCTAGAAGATGTCGCATGTTTTTATATGTACAGAATCATTGCGATTAATTGGATTGTATAGAAGAGTTTGGAACGATCGGAGAGAATACGTCAAATATTGTTAGCGAAACAGCTTCTTATGTTTTAACGTAATCAAAAGAATAAAAGTCTTTTGTTGCAGAACAGAAACATAGCAAATAAGAGTTTTCTTCTGCTCGAGACGATCTGTATTTGCTGGAAAGCAAATATTTATAATGAAGTCAACATTTATGAACGACAGGAAGCGATTCATCTGGTCGGATCTCTATTTTTTTCATCTTCTCTAGTAGAGTGTAATTCTATCTAGGAACCGTTGTTTAACAAGCCTCGAAATATTCAAATTAGAGAATTCCGAAATGGCCAAATTGATCTACATCATTCTGTGCCAATAAGCATACCATAAAATGCCATTATATGTACATTAGTGTATTGATTTTGTTGAGAAAGTGAATGCAACCGTTGCTTTTTACCGATTCGAATTTGCTTATAAAAGAAAACTTTCAAGAGGCAACTTCCGTTGTGTATACGATTCAACTTTCTCGCTATTCAAAGACACGTTCCAACTTTTCATAAGTACATGGCATATTTCAAGTATGCAAGAATATGTTTCATTCAAAAGACGATCAATCATACATTTAACTTTTCAAGAGAAGCATGGAATGATAAACTATAAACATTGAGAATATATATATCTATATAAATGTACAATACGAAAGAGAGAAACAGATTTTTATTCATCCACAGTTCTAGTTGATGAACAACAACCTAGTAATTTGCCGTACGTAGTTTCTGATTGGTTATTCGTTAAGCTGATATTTCCTGTTTGATTCGGTGTTGAGAATTGCTTTTCGCGTAATGCGGCTTCTTGTTTCAGATCCAGTAATTTTTCCGTAAGGAAAAAGAACATTTTGGAAACTGTTGGACTAGTATCAGATTTGGCACTTGTTTCGAAGAAATCAACACGAAATTTATCAGCTAGCAACTTGCCTTCATTGGTGGATACCACTAAACGATCGTGTATATCACTTTTGTTTCCAACTAAGATTCGAACGACATCATCCGGAGCATTCTCATCGATGTTTCTCATCCATCGAACGATATTTTGAAACGAAGTGGCTTCCGTACGATCGTAAACAAGAATTATGGCGTCAGCATTACGCTGAAGAAGAAAAAAAATCGAGTGTTCGTGAGTGTGAATACGAACGAGGACAACTTACATAATAAGATCGTGTGATATTAAAAAATTTCTCTTGACCAGCTGTGTCCCACAATTGTAACTTGACAGTTTTATCTCGCACACGCAGTGTCTTAATTTTAAAATCAATACCAATCGTTGGTGTAAATGATTCCGCAAACATATTGTCTATAGAAACAAAGATAAGCAGTGACCTTTCGGGAGAAAAAAACAACGACGACGACAAGGAAACCTTATCGACTAGAAACAAACTAGCTTATCGTAAACGAGACTTACCAGCAAATCGAAACATTAAACATGTTTTTCCCACACCACTATCACCGATCAACAAAATTTTAAATGACCAATCTGGTTGAGTACGTTTCGTTGCCATGAGAGGAAAGAAAAAAGCGTGTATCTAAAACATCAGTTAGAGCATTTACATAATGTATTCGCATATATAAACTAAACGATGGTATTCTAGATGAAATAGTCCTACAAATTTACACGTCATGTTGAATGTGAATCACGATGAATGAGAGTGCACAATCGTCGACGTTTTTCTTTCTTTTTTGATGATCATCTGACGAGAGGGAAGGCGTCAAGAGAACGAGAAATAAGAAGTAAAGAAGGGAAAAAAGCAAGACATAGTTTGCATCGCTGACTGGTTGGTAGTAGAGAAAAAAAATGCGAAGGCATAAAAGCAGAGACGGTTCTTTCAGCTACATGGCGTGCTTTTCTTCATCTTTTTCTTTTTATCAGTACTTGCGAACAAGTTAAAATGTAGAAACACATGATAGTCGTGCACATCATAAACTTGTTTTTTCAAAGTACTTATCTTGTCTCACAAGAAGTAAAGAAAGAAAAGAGAAATATACTATTAATGTAGATATTTTGCCGCAAGAAACTAATGAACTGTGCAGACGTATACTAGTCTTCGCTACGATATTATCAGCTTTCATTTCATCGCGAACTTACCCGTGTTTGCGAAGAGGCGCGCGCACGATACTAAGAGGCTGAAGATTAATACTGTCGGCAAAAAAATTCAAGAGATACTTGCCTC